CTGTAAACTTAATTATCTAGAAAATGAAGTTTAATTTTGTGCCGAATTCAACAGTCTTAAGCAAAATTATGTATATATAAATATTTTCAAAGTTCAGAACCACTATTTCTGTCTATCTATCTGACTCTGCTTTTAATATTTCTTTGTCAATCTATTAATACGAGTTCTGTAGCCGAGTGGTTCGCACGCCGGTTTCAAGATGTCGCCATTTCTGAGCTGGGACCTCAGTTCGATTCCCGGGTCAATGTAGAAAATGGACTTTTAAATATTTTCTTGGGTCTGGCGTTGTGGTACCTATATTTTTTTAATTACAGTTTGCGATTGGCAACACCATTCTTACACTTATAAAACACAACCCTGGTTATACGTTGATTCGTTTCATTTAATAAAATATAAAGCCGTGTTTACACGGGGTCAGTAACTGACTCCAAAATCGAGACGGTGCTGACCAAGTGCAAAAACTGTAAAGACAATTAACCCGATGACTGACTCCGAGTAAACAGCGCGGTCAAATTTCTGTGCTAGGACTGACGCCGGTAACCGACCCGTACCTATAATAAACCACGTGTAAAAAAAGTCTAAACACCTTTGGCCCTTCGGGTTGCTATTCTCGTCACCTCTAAATAGGTCAAAACGAGGTTCAAAAGCAAGGAGTACATACACCGCCCTATTATACATTCACGGTACGCTGAATATCCATTATAGTCCATTTACCGTAAATTCTTTTATTTACATAGTGCGTAGTTATATTGAATTAAGCGAGCGCCGGATGCCGACTGCTTCCCTAAATTACATCAGCATTACGAAGAAACTGCTTGTCATTGTCGTTTCTCGGTATAGAAAAAAAAAAACTTTTTTACTTATCTCAGATGCGATATAATTAGAGGAAGTATTCACGGGGCCTTATTATAAGACATCTTGACGCGTCGTTAATGCTTTTGAAACAACGTGAGGACAAAATTGAGTTACCGTGTCATGAATAGCACTTAAGTATATTAAATTTACCTGAGCAATGGATAATAAAAATAGTTTTTTTTGTGTTTGAACGGCAGACGTGGGCGGTACTTTAATTGTTACGTCTGAATTATTTATTACAGATTTTAAAATGAATGATTAAATATTTTATTCGTCATTGTTTTATGTTGAGTTCTTTATTTGTTATTTGATACTTAACATCTTTTCTTTTGTCATAATATTTAAAAGACTAACTAATATGCATAATTAATATCGTCAACCGTAATATGAATTAATGTAACCGCCAAATGGCTACTTTACAGGAGAGCCAAAAAACAAAATTGAAATTACAAAAACAGTTATAACTTTTTATGTACTAATCCGATTTAAATACTGTTTTAACTGTTTCTGTAAAATGTTTAGATCTATTAATATAAATAAACCATATGAAGCCTAGTTTTATAGTTTCCAAGATGACATGGTGGTTACGTCACTTTTTTCGAAAAAATATCGAGTTACCTTGATTTTTGTAGAAAAAAATATAAACAGCTTTAAAGTAACTCACATTGCATTTCTCCAAATTTAACGTATAGTACTAAAAATATAAAAATCGTTAACGTATATCACTCTATTTTTAGTGTATGGATATACGTTATAGTAGGATGATTCATGAATTTTCATTCCTATTCTCTTATGTTAAGGTCTAAAATAGAATAATCTTTACATTTACTGCTAGTTTGTGAAAAAGGGTTTCAGTATGAAAAAGCCACATTAGAAAAACAGTTTTATTGCTTTCAATTAATAACATCGTAATTATTTTTGAGATCAAAGTTACAAAACAAATCAGTCTCCGAATGCAATAATTATTAGAGCACCTATTTGTTTCATTTTCCTTATTCAAATAGTACCTAAGTACTTACAATGGCTATAAATTTAAAAAAAATCTACTGAAAGATCAATCATTTTAGCTACGAATTAACCCCCTTACTTATAAACCTTGTTTAGCTTCAGCTTAACTTAGATATTGTTTAAAGTGATGCTGTGACTTTTATGTCAATATTTCTTTAACAGGACAGCATCACTTTTAAATACTGTTTAAGTTAAATAGGGTTTATTAGTAAGGGGTTCTTGAATAACTACTACTTTTATAATAATTAATAAACGATTTTAAAAAAGTTAACAAACTAAACCAATTTCGGAAATCTAAAAAAAATATCGAAATAGCATTAGATTAGATTAGTAAAAGTTTAGTTTTAGATGTCCATAAACTAAAACTTTAATCTGAAGAAGCATAGTTTAGGCCAAATAAAAACATTATTTTTTTCATAAATTGGAAATAAACTAACGGCAATAGAATTATTCTAAATCTAAATTGAAAAATCGTGTGCAAGTAGACAAAGTTTTAGTAATGATATAAAAAGAAAACTTTTCCAATTAACAAGTATCGAAACATAATTATTCATGACAATAACAACAAAATAAAATAATCCAACATAATTGTTTTCATTAACAAAATAAGTACCTACTTTATCTTTGAAATGATTAATTATTTTTCTCTATTTTACTTCACCACTTTTTTTCTTTTGTATTTGTTTAACGCTTCCCGTTCTCTTTCGTAATGTTATTTTTACTGCCTTTTCTTCCTTTTTCTCCTTTGCAGTCTTTTTCACCTTTAGTGCCTTTTCTTCCTTTTGCTCCTTTTTTTCAATTGCTGTGGGTTGTACATCTGAATTTCTTAAATTACGACATAGTATTTTTGAGCACGAAACTCTTGTATCTAGCTTATCTGTTTTTTTATTTATTTTATTTGGTTTTTCAATTTTTATACTATGTTCCTTAGTTTCTTCATCACTAGTCACGTTCTCTTCGTCCTCTTATTAAGTACCTATGTCATCTAAGAAATCAGTTTTCATAGTGTAGGGTAACTGTAAATAATCTTGAATATACTGTTTAGGTATAACTTTGTCATCGCACAATTTTTTAGATCCATGTATTTTTCGTAGAAATTGGTAATCGTGCCCGGTACAGTTTCTGTAAATCATTATGAGTTTTATTATCGACCAAACTCCTTTCATTAGGCTCCAGTTTCTTTGCTGTTGTTCGTTTTCTTTTGCCCTGACGAAATTTTAGTTCCTTGACCCATGGGAAATCGGAAAGTTTCTGCGTCTTCTTTCATAGTGTATTTTATCTCATTATTTAAATACGATTTTTAAAAGTAGCAATTCCAATATCTTTCATTCTAAAATTCAGTTTTTTACACATGACCTTTACATTGTTGATATTGTCAATCATTGAGTAGTTACGTTAAAAATATTTTCTTATTCTGCCCTTACATTAAATTACAGTTTATCTATTTTTATAAATTGCATCATACGTCACAAAAGTTAATATAAATGAAAAAATCTACTTAAAATTTTATTAAGGTACTCGACATTTTTTTCAAGATATCGAGATTTTAAATACACCAATCGATAGAGCGGAAAATTTGCAGTCGAACTGTATATATAACTCAATATCGCCATTTTGGCGGTTACATTAATTCATATTACGGTTGACGATATATACTTGGATTTTCCATTCATCGACATTTTAGGTGCTAAACATTGCTAAAGCTGCACATTGAGTAAAGTCATAAGTTATAAAAAAATATGTTATACCTATCGTTTACAATTTTAAGCTATGAAAAATTTTCACATACTTATAATTTAAAAGTGAATATTCACATAGTTGTCAATAGCGTAACGTGATTTATAAAATGACAACGACATAACTTTTCCCACACACCCACGCGAAAAGGCACCATTCAAATGAATGCTCAATTTATAACCCAACTCTTTCACTCGCAGACAATTAAATAATAATGGATTACGTTGAAATTGGAGCAGCTTTAAAGCTCTCCTTTTGATGCCAGTGTGACAACACCTATGTATACAAATTACCATCCTACTCATAACAATATTGTCGTTAAACTGCTAGCGACAGTACACTTGAGGTAATAGACTGTATTCTTACAAACAAGCACTTAACCTACTTGTTTTTATTAGGTACGTTTATTGCAATACAAGGCATGAGATATACACTTTGTATTTGCCTTCATTTCTAAACGCTATTTGGTTAAAAGCCGACTTAAAAAATCTAGTAAATTCGGGCAAACGTTTCGTATAAGATATTAATATTAATCGTCTGACGTTCAATTGATTCTTGACGTATATTTATTCCATTCGAAGAATAATACACAGATATGAGACAAATTGTTTGGTTAGCTCTTTTCGTTAAATATAATATTCATGGTTAAAGTTAATAGACAGCTCTATACAAACTTTTAGTTGTAACTAACTTGCATCCCGGTAACCGATATTTTTCCAGCTACACCGAATAGTTTTATGTCTAATTACCGAACATTACACTTAACGAAACTTTGAGAGACAAACTCAAATTTGCCGTTCAAAAGCTTTTTTCCCGTCAGTTTAGCAATAGTTAATAGGTTATAATGGCATTTGTGCTGTAACTTCTTTGCATTACTTTTTGTCGACTTTCATGATTCTAGGTCAACGGGAATACAATAAGTTTTGTTTCCTTTGCGAGCATCAAAATATACTGCAAGATTGATTTTTTCAGGGTTTGCAACAGAGCGACCGCATATCACCCTAAACTTGAGCCTTCTAGCCATAGGATGTGAGATTTTAACGGTGTTACGATGATATTTCGTTTGATTTTACTAATTTGACATGTCGTTTGGTAAATAAAGGTATAAAAATGACTAAGCTGGTAACACTGCTATCAAATTCATAATAATCATTCTTTAAAGTTTGTTCGTCGGCACTAAAATACATGTTAAAAATGAAATGTAATATCGCAATAATATATCGTATCTTATATCTAGAATCATGGCTAGTAGGGAGAAAGGCGGACTCTGCTGATCTGAACCAGTAGTTATCTCATATTAATTACAACTTAACGTGTTCCTAAGCCAAAACAAAAAACCAAATAAGTAATCTAGTAAGGTACTGTCGACGTATTAAAAATGAAATTTGGTTTGTTTGTTTCACTTTCATTTACCCTTATTTATTGAGTATAATATACACAAATGTGAAACTTGCGGTAATAAAACCTTGCGAGTGCCACATACGGAAACCTATATTTTATTATGTGAGTCGCACTTCGACTCCTTTTTATTCTGTTTACAATATGGACCAGCTGCTTCGCCTCTAGGCATGCTCGTAAAAACTAAATTGAATACGGGATAAAATTTGTAATTTTAATGCTTCTACTCTCACAAGATTTCATACAACAATATTGAACCACATGGGAGAAAGAAACTAAAACACGTCATAGGCTTTCATTAGATAACTTCTTTAATTACAATTCTATACAAACATCGGCCAATCAAATAATTACTACTAGGTACATAATAATTTACAGTCTTTCCAATTTAATACTTCAAAAGTTTTTATTTTATTAAAAAAAGTAATAAATACGAAGAAGCAAATCTGTAGAAATGCGAAAATTTGGTATCATTGTACAAAAGTTACAAACTATCAGAAATACATAGATTATAAAATTCTATTATTTACATATTGACGATTATCGTCTATAACAAAAGAGGTTCGTAGCGGTCGCCTAAGGCTACGTCTAAAACTTACAGATCAATTGTAACGAGATCGACAGTGCGAATTAATGTTTACCGAGGTTCTATACCAGGTATGTTTGGACAGTGTGCTGTAAGACCACAGATTGAGGCTGATTGTGTCTCCCATGGAAATCAGTGGACGAATAATCCGAATCTATTGTTGAATAGATATGTTCGGACAGCGGACGGTCGCAAGGGGACCGCTCGGCTGAATTCGCAGACTTCCCACAAAGCGTCTGACAAGTACTATTCAACACAGACGCGTCCATAGTATAAGTATTGGAATTCCTCCCATAATTAAGTCTTTTTAATTTCTGACCATGACGCTTCGATAGCGGCATCGCATAACGTAATCTCTCCCAAAAACGTTTCTCTTTCCATGTTATCTCCAAACCAGTTTTAAGATACGACTTCAGTTCCGGATCTCGCGGTACGAGCCCCACGGCGACTATTATTAATTTATGTGGGTTCTTTCGAAGGGCCTTCTGAAGGGCCTGTCGAAACTCTATCTGTGACCATTCTGTTACGATAAAATTTTTTGTTAATACTACTATAATACGTCTCGACGCCTCGGTTGCTTCGACCACCAAATCAGGAAATTGGGCGTAAGTCGCCTCAAATTGAGGCACATCCCTGTAGTGTAAACATAGATGATAAGACGGATAACCGTTCTCTAACTCCCGAGCTAATGATTCTACGACGAACTCCTCGTCTTTGGGGCTATAACAAATATAAGCGTCATAAAGCTTATCAGCGTCCTTAAATGCGCCCGCAAGGGGGGAAAGCTTAATACCGCAATTTGAATATAACCACATTCTGCAAGCGAATCTAAACGTGAATACTAAAGCTAATATTAACAAAATGAGCATGAATCCAGTAAGAGCTGACGCTAGTAATGGCAAGTTTTGGGACACGAAAAAAGCACTTATAACTGAATTATCACCTATCTCACTGCAAACTGTAATATTCAAATTCAATGGTTTCTTCGCTGGATTCATTTTTTCATTGAAACACCACAAACTGTTTACATCGAAGACTTTCTCTACATTCTGTGATACATATGTTAGGAAGCCTTGTAAGTATTTACAATCACACGACCAATAGTTGTTACCAATAAATAGAGTCTGCAATTTCTTGTTATTATCTAAATGCCACAAACCGTAATTTACGAGTCTGTTTCCATCCAAGCGTATAACTTCTAAAGCACCGAGGGAACTAAATGTTTCGTTAGATATATATTCAATCACATTGCTTTGGAGATATAACTCCTTTAAGTTACTGAGCTTGTAAAACTCGAGGCCTTGTAATTGTTTGATTTTGTTGTTATCTAAATGTAGTATTTTTAGACTATTCAGCGCACTAAAAGTATTGTTATGAATATGTATGATGTTGCTAGAATTCAAATATATAACGAAAGCTCCATGCATTGAATTGAAAACAGTTTCGTTTAGTTCCGTATAAACATTTCCATCTAAATAAATATGAGTAGAGTCTGTAGGAAAGTTTTTTGGTACAAATTTCAATTGTTTTACAGAACAATCGACAACACTAGTGGATTTTGCCGAGTCGTGATAACAAGAACAATTATTTGGACAAACAATTTTACAATTACAGTTATTGAAATCGCAGCAGCTACAATCATCAGGGCAATGATAGTCGTATTTACACAAAAAGTCTTTGAGAAGCAAAGAACTGACCGGGAGGTATTTAACGCCACGCACGAATGATTCTTTGCATATCACATTTTCTAAATCCATCACACGTGGATACTGTCTAGTTGTAATCGAGTTTATCAGTAGTAGCCATTTCATTGTGCAATCGCATCGAAAGGGATTGGCACTAATATAGAACTCTGGTAACGCTCTATCATCGACCACTCTTGATATACGCAAACTATTTATGTCTAAGCTTTCAATCTCATTGGCATACATATCGACGCGCGTCAAATTTCTCTTCTCTAAAAATGTATCCGTTTCAATACTTGATATTAAATTATTATTTATAAACAGAAGCTCCACGCTGTTCGGTATAGACATTGGAGATAGTGTAACCAATCGATTATGACTCGCATCTAAAGTTTTGACGTGCAGTTCGTCTTGAATTTTGTAATAATTACCCAATATTTCAATGTAATTGGCATGAATATCCAACCACTTCAAGCTACCGGGTATGAAGGCGTAATCGAACCACACCAAATGGTTTTCTGACAAATTCAGCCATAACAATTTCGTTAAGGCTACAAACACTCCATTTATATCAGAAATAAAGTTACCGTCCAACCGAACGGCTTCCAATTGCGTGTTTCTTTGAAAGGTTTCGGTCTCTATAGACTGTATTTTATTTTTCGCCAAATTAAGCACTTGCAGACTAGGCAACCCTGAGAACATTCCCGCTGTAAGGTTTCCAATTTGATTGTCGATTAAACGCAACCCGGTCAACTGCGATAAATTTTGAAATGAATTGTCCGTTATTTCAGTTAGCAAATTTTCCCCCAAGTCTAGCGATTTCAAGAACGATAATTGTAAAATTGCTTCCGGAACTTTAGTCATTTTATTGGAACTTAAATCTAATTCCTTTAAATCGGAACAATTTTTAAAAGCGTTTTCACTGATATATGATATTACATTATTATTTAAATTAAGTTTATTCAATATGAATAGTCCATTAAATACATGGTCTTCTATTACATGTAATTTGTTTTGGCCCAAATTTAATGTATGTAAATTGAAAAGTGGTGAAAAAGCATTGTCATCAATGGATGCTATAGTGTTATTGTTTAAATTAAGTATTTGTAAAAAGAATAAGTCTTTGAACATGTTGCGGGTGACCCGGGAGAGCACGTTATGCGACAGGTCAAGCACGATTAATCTTATTAGACCACCAAACGTTTCATCTTCTATGTGGTCGCTCCTCAATTTATTCGCCGAAAGATCTAAAACGAGCAATTGTTCCAACCGATTAAATATTCTCTTGGGCAAAGCTTCCAACTCGTTATTTTGCATATAAATTTCACGAATCTCTCTTGTGTTATAAAACAACCCTTCTGGTAAATAATTTATAGCGTTGTCAGACAGATTTACAACTTTCAGTGAAAGCAAATCATTGAAGACGTCTCCTGGCAGTTCACTTAATTTATTATTCTGTAAAAAAAGTTGCGTCAGTCTTCGTAAATGCAGTATTTCGGAATCAGCCGGAAGGGACATAATATCGTTATGGCTCAGATCTATCATCTGTAATGTAGATCCACATTTATGACCAAAACCCAATTCATCGACGAACTTGATCTTGTTTTGTGTCAAGTTGAGCGAAATTATATTTTCCAGCGCACAAAACAAGTCTGACGGGATCTTCCGGATGTTGTTGAAAGCTAAATCCAGAGTGTGCAGTTCTCTTAGGCCATTAAAAGCGCCCAGCGAAAGCTCTAGCTCTTTATTGTTGCCCCATTCGTTATTCATGGACCGTATCTTCAAAGTCTTTAGCCCTCGTAATCCTTCGAAAACATTACCAGGAAGTCGGAGAATTTTACAGTTATTTATGGAGATCTCCGCCAAACCTTGCATCTTCCCAAAGTGATGATCGCGTAGCGTGCTCTCTAGGAACAACGGGCTACATCGGAGGGCGACCCGCCGAGTGCCGTCCGAGAGCATCGAACCGACGACGGCCCTGTCCGACGACAGCGTTCGTACATTGCACTCCACCTCACCACTCTCACTGGACACACGGAAACAGGCATCTGCATCGTCGGGCGCTTCCGTAAGCACCGCGCCCATCACTAAACAAAAGAATATCGCGGTAATTATCATTTTAAACCGCACTGTGTCCATATCATTTTCATCACTTGTCATATATCGCCAAACACATGTTTAGTTCGGTAACGGCGCACAGTCATATTCAACTGATCGCGATGCGAGTACGGCGAGAGGGTGTTTTGTTAACAATTTTTGCATGCGGGATTGTAAATAGAGCGGTGTGCGAGCAACGGTACGGCCGCATGGTGTTAACGTAAGCACGCGATCCCCCCGCGGAGGCAGAACCGCGACTGCCGCGCGTACAATGAAATGTCACGAATGCGCGCCGGCCACGGCTAGCTAGCGCTTGGAAGGGAACGGAATGGACCGCACAAACCATTTCTATTGCCGCATACTAAGTTATTCCATAGTTTTTGACTTCTGTGTAAACCGGAAACCGTTGCGAGACTTCGTATTTATTGTTATTAAATTATTATTTGTTGCTTTCAAATAATAATATCAGTAAACATTTATAATTTGCTGCACCTGAAACAATACGCATTTCCTATTTTTGTTGTCAGAAATGTTTAGGTAAGTATTGTCCAGCTACAGGTATATAATAATCAATGTATGCTATACTGTTTTTTATAAAACTAAAATAAACTAGTTAAGCTAACTAGCGAACTTGGGAAATGTTGGGGAACTAAAGCAAGCCATATATTTCGTAGGGATAATGAAATTAAAATGTTTAGAAACCTGTTCCAGAAAGAAGTATACTACAATATTTATTATTCTGTTCTTATTAAAACGGAAACGAGTTGGCATTATTGTACTTAAATATATACGCGATTTCTTTTACAAATAATAAATTCACTACAAAGAACATCAACCAACACAGCTCAATATTTTCCGTATATTTATATATCCCGTAGTAAATAATATATACTATAACCTCATGAAATTATGACTATTTAATTTTTTCCTAAAAAAAGTAGTAAATCTGAGCGGCCTTCTAGTAATTTACGACAAATTCTCACATAATTATCGCCATTATCATCTTCCCAACATAACAAAGACAGCTGTAAACCATACTTTTATAATATGATTTCCACGAAATTTTCATTCGCCTTTCTTTGTTCCAAATAAAAGATTTAAGAACCATTAACTGCATAGATACCAAAAGTTGAAAAACTGTAATAAATCATATAAATGGGTATTAAACATAATATGCGGAGATCATTCGCCAACAATGAAATTCCACACTGAACTGACATTAACATTACCTAGCGTCGTCTTGCCTTACATTTAAAAAGATTTAATAGTTTAATATCTTTGGTCGCATTACAGATCGGTAATTTTTTACTATCTTTCTATTTATGTTATCTTACGTCTCTTATAATTTGTATTGTGTATTCTGGTTTGTTACATTTTCACGCAGGCTACTAATTAAATAAAACTAATTTTAAAGAGATATAACTCGTTTGTATTTGATTATATTTTTAGACGTTTAGGATCCTTTATGATACTTATGATAAAAAGCTGGTAAGTTTCTTTCGCTTGTTCTTCTTGTCAGCTAAAAGACGTCCTGAACAAGTGGTAGGGGAAAAAAAATTTTTTTGGACGATTCAAAATAGCTTGTAATAGCCTACTTGAATAAAGATATTTTCTTTTCATTTTATTCCTTTACAGGTTCCGTGTTTACTTGGTTACCTATAACTATCGATACCTTTGGGTTCACATGGCGTATAAACCATTTTGGCGATTATTTTTTATTTATTAAGGCATACACAACAGTCATCGATCATAAAAAATTACATCACAAATAGGTCTAAATAGATTTTAAGCTAGATTGACATCCTTAAATATTCAAAACAGTTACAAGAATGGAAAGAATGGAACATTAACATTCAGAATTTTATTAAAATATTTTTAAATTAAATATAAACTTAATTATTATTACACAACTTCATTAAATAATATCATATTTAAGGTAAAAGACAAAAGTCATAGTTTTTATAAATTAAAATTACACAAAATATAAATTTGATAATTTAATTTGAATAAAAATTATTGGCTTTGGCTCTTAGTACGAACGCACACTGCGTCGTCGTAACAGGCATTTATTTTTATCCTACACTTCTGACACCAAATTCTTTTACAGAAATTGCCGTACCTATTCGTACTAAGAGCCAACACCAACAAGAAGCAACTGCGACGACTACAGTGACTGCGACGGCTGCGACCTCCGACTCTTTATTAACTCAAATAAAAATTACAGTAATGTATCCTTAACAAAATAGAACAAAATAGCAAGAACTTGTGTAGAGAGTAATTAAATCCTCCTGGTAGCGCCTGGCCCTTAAGTCTGTCGTTCCAAAATAATTTAATATTTCTCGATATAATGAAATACTACGACCAAAGCCCTGTTTAAGGCACAGAACGTATAGAAATTTTCTCTACGTACTTTTTGCTTTCTAAGTTATCAGAGTGGGCAGCATAACTAGGGGAAAGAATTAGAAAGTAATATATGACTCTTAACTTTCCTAAAACCATTCCCTGTGTCACAATGTCATGATAGTGTACTCTAAGGGTTAGTTCACTATCTATAAAATACCTATCCCTAACAGACGCATTGTGTTCAAGAACTTTATCTAATGATTGATTCTGTAGCTATATTCAGTTTTGTTATGTTTTCTTGTAAAAGATATTACAAAGCACATGTCAACATTCAGAGGCATGCGGTTAGATCTACACCAAACAGAGATGGCATGATAACTTTCTAACCAGGTCATTGATGAAAATCAAGAAAAAGAGCGGTATGAGAAGGGGACCCTGAAGAACCCCAGACGGGACCAAAGAAAGCTCTAAGAGGTATCCCTTCAACGCAACCAGCTGACTCCTGTTCGCGAGGCTCCAGTTTCAACCCATTTAAGATCAGAACAATGAATTCCGACAGTTTATGACAAAGAAGATTATGATCAGCTCAATCAAAGGCTTTCGACATCGACAGACATCGTCACCCTGACCACCTACGTCAAAAGCCTATTTTTTTTTTTTTGACGCTGAGAAATGCGTAACGCATACCCGCTTCTCCCTGCACGGGCTCCACTGGTGATGTGGGACTCCTCCTGTGGCCCCACCCCCAAAGGGGCTAGACAAGAAACAGAAGTTTACTCACTAAAACTCAGCGATGTCACTCGCATGGTAGGCGATGCGCGGGATCGGCCCGAAGGCCATACACCGCGCGGTTCGCCCCCATTTCGGCCCGCCCTGAAAAGGGCAGGTCCCACTCGGGTTGGGGGTACGCCTCAGAAACATTCGTGACGCACCCCCACGACGAGGCAGGAGCGTGCAATGCCGACCAGCGCGCTAACCGGTCAGCTGCCCCCGACTAGAGACCAGAGATCACCAGAGAGCACGCAACTGCGCAATCTCCAGTCCCCTACCCATCGTGTTGGGAGGGCCCACACAGGCATAGCCCTTATCGTTGACCCCCCCCCCCCCCCCCGTAGGTCGATGCGCCACAGAAGACCAGCCTCATCACGTCCCGTATCAGCCCCGAAGGGCAGACAGGGCGAGTCCAGCCGGTCGACGGGTCGCATCCCCTCTTGTCGCGCCGCGGCTACGGCCCTACCGAGGTCCCGGCGCCGCACCAGTCGTCGAGCAAGCACAGCAGGTAGGTAGGTACCCTGGTAAGTACCCACCATACTACTCTAGACTAGTACGGCGTGTAGATGAATGTGTGAGATGTATGAATGTGTGTGTAAAGTGTTTGTATGCCAGTGTGTGTGTAGTTGTGTATGTGTGACTGTATGTGTATGTGTTATGTACGTCAAAAGCCTCACTAAAATAGCTTTTATATTCAAGCAGATTAGTTACTGAAGATCTGCCCCTTACAAAACTGTGTTGGTTGGTTGGGAGAAGAAATTTGCAACAAAATGTTTATACGCCTCAAAAATCTTAACCGAAAGTATTTTTTTAGTTTTGATACGATATAACTGCATAATTTTTATGCAAAATATATAAATATCGACTGGCATTTACGCAGGTAAATGTGGTCATACTTTCATTAAAAACTTACATACCCCGTATAATTATTTTTATCAATTTTGGTGAGGTCAAACTGTTTTTATTTAGGACATAAATCCAAGCTAACTTTGAAAGTAAATGAAATAGGCATGTTTTTAGCCTTTTTCATGACCACATCCTAAGAATTAAAAAGAAAAATTCTAACTTCTAATACAAAGATGTTATGAATTTTTGTTCGAAAAAAAAGCACGTTTTTTGACTCTCCTGAAAGGCATGTTTTAGTTTATACGCCAATTGAACCCAAAAGTATCAAAGGTGTTGATTGCCTATTTGTAATAAATTAAACTAGCTCTCCGTCAGCGGCTTCGCCAGCGTGGTCCTGTATTCCAAACCATATTGATATATAGAGCATTGCTACCTTCAAACAATACCTTCGAAACAATAAAGGCGTAGACAACTTTTTTATATTTTTTCAATGCAGTTGCTCATAATGCGCTATTTTTTTAATCCATTGTAAACACCGAAAGTGAGTATTTAAACACGTGTTAAATAAAAATGTACTGAAATCCTTTACTGCACACGTGCTTAAAAGTATTTTTTTAATTTTTTTTGGCCGAGCACCAAAGAAATTTTAAAAAAATATGTCAAACTTTAGAGGCAAAAGTATTTCAAGGAGCCTAGAACGAATATTTTCAAATATAAATGTATGGCACGAAAACATGTTCAAATATCACGTTTAATTTTAACAAATAATTTCTACCTTTAATACATACTTAGTTTTATTAACCTATATATTTGTTTTATTTACTCGCAAAAAGCATTGAAAAATGTTGTAAGAAACTTGAGCGTAAAAGGTTTTTCGAATTCGTGCCAATGAAAACCCTCGCTACGGTCGTGTTTTCAATTTGGCCCTTATTCGTAATTTCCGCACTCGTATCTTAAATAACTATTATCCTATATATACACGATAAAATATATATTTTTTTAATTTTATATATATATAATAATTAAAAGAAGATATCATCCATATAATGACTATAGATTTTAAAACTCTAGTTATTCAGTAGTAGTACTTAATAACATACCAAACTACGGGGCTTGTTTTTTCTTTTTAGTTTTTAGTGAAAGTAATTTTATATTTTTTAGACTTCTTTCTTTTGTTTTCACGCAGTCGTGTTTTTGTTTTTATAATTAAATTTTTATTTTATACTTTTTACTTAGTTCCCATTGACTTCGTTATTAGAACTACCTATAAGACGGTAAATTTCGCAACCTTGTCATTTCGTCGAGTGAGTTTATATCGTGAGGATTATTAAGCAACTTGCGGTGGTCTAAGCTATTAGTCCATCTAGAGACCTCACTCGGCTCAAAGCTAAATATGCTTGACCTTTAGCAAAAATTCGCGAACTTAGTCAACCACAACTCGGTCCAGAGTAGTTCTTGGCTCTTAAAAGCTTTATAATTTGCGAACGGCTTCCTTTATCTAAAAACGGTCTTCGCACACTTCTAATATTTTTGAAAGACTTATCCAACAATATTCCACATTATAGGGAAATCAAAAAATAAAAAATCATCCCCACTTTACATGTAAGGGAGGTACCCAAAAAAATTTGATTACTGTTATTTATTTAGTGACACTCGCAAGGTACTCGTACAAATCGATTTACGTATAAATCATCAAAATTGGCCAAGCAGCTTGGTCTCTACAATGCTATATAGGAACAAAGCTAGACTCCTTTGCGTTGCTCAGTCGGGTAAAAGGAGTATGTGCTCAGTTCGACAGATTTATGTCGATTTGGAACACCGACGCGAAAAGGTGGACATAAACCGTTTTGAATACGGTTTTTTCTATAGAATGCAAATTTTGCTTGTCATATGATTCCACTAATAGGTCGAAATCAGATCAGCAGCTCTACCAGTATACCATTTTATTATCTTTAAACCTTATTACAGAATATCTATATTACAGAAGATAAATGAAGTTTTAAGATTTACAGAGTGAATTATATAAATGGAATAAAACCCAAGGCTAATGGATACAGAAAAATAATAACATAAAAGGTCAATCAACATTTACAAAAATTATGAAATGGAAGGTTAATTACAACACAGTCCCGGGTACCCCAAGACAGGTGGATCTGATCCTGGATTTTAAGCATTTTTCATCATAGGTGTTAAGTGTGTAGCGGTGTTTATAAAAAAAATATTAAAATAATAATAGGAAAAAGATTATCTGGACAGTACTGCAAATGCAAGTAAAGTCAGATAGTGGTTGCAATTCTACTGGTAAAATGTACATACCTACACAAAATTTAGTTGAATCCTGTCAAGCTGAGTATGAAGTGGAATTGACGCCATTGTTTGTAAATTAGTTTAGATTACTTAATATTTAAGGTGACAACTGGTGCCTTACCGCGTAGCTACTGCTTCGATCGGGGGCGCAAGCGCCTAACTAATGAATATAGCCATAGTCGTAGCTATAACCTACGCTTTATCGGTATTTCACATGAATCTGTCGATATTGTTTTAAAATTAATTCTTTTTTTTTAATTTATATATTTTATATTTTAAAAAGTATAAACAAAATAAAATCAAGCTCAAGAAATAAAATAAACACGATACCTACACGATATTATAGTCGAGCGAAGGTGTATGAGTTGTGAAATATATCTTTTGACTGTTTTATACTTTTTATTTTCTCCTTTTTTGAAGTCCGTTTAATTTTAATTAATTTACAAATAATAATTTATAAAAAAAAAATCCTTTTTATTTGCATCCAATGTCTAATTTTCAAAAATACGTAGACAATTATAGTATTATAAAGGAGAAGTTGTAGATTTGGAAGTTTGTTACTTCTTCACACAAAAATTACTGGACGGATTTTGATGGAATTTAGTATACAACTAATTCTAAGTCCGGATTTACATACGGACTTTTTATTGCTATCGCTGAAATTGCAATAGTAGAATTTGACGGTGACTATAATGATGGAGCAGTCTATCAATGTGTCTCGACCCTAGTTAGTCGTTTTCCCACAATATTTTTTTTTTTCTAAAATAAAACAACATTTTGTTTTTCTATTTATTGAAGGTAAAACTTAATTTTATATTTACAATAACCGTATACAGGGAAAAATATAACACTTACATACACTAACAGCTTATACTGATAGCATAGCATGTATGTCGAGAAGAAAACATTATCAATATCCAAATCAACATAATACAGTAATAATATTTGACTGATTACAATGTTGAAATTGCATTTCATAACTGCAATCAATAATGTTTTCTTCATTTGTATTGGTGTTTAAATGGCATATTTTTATATTAAGTCAATACAGGCATATAATAAAAGAAAATCAATTGGGTGTTAGAAAAAATACTTTCATCTCATTTAGTCACAATAAATATATACAATTTTCAGACTAAAAATTAGCTACTAATTAATATTAAATTCGATGCTTCGAACGCTACGTCTCAAAATACTAGTATATTGAGAATTTCGGAGTCAATCAAATTATAACATTATTAAAAGCAAAAGCTAATTGTCTTATGTATAACATCATAGCCTTTCCTATCATACTATCACAAATAATTACTTAAATTTACTACAGTATCTTATCGATAATGTCACTGTTGATTATTCAAGGAAGCTGAACTATGCCAATGATCACCAATTTCAGTTCAACGTGTTTCTATATTCAGTCTTATTTAGGCTCTGATCTTAACTTGTTGTATGTGTCATTGTTTTTACTTGCAATTGTAATACAGTCATTCAGTTTCAATAAACCTTTGTTTTAAAACTGTATCTAATGCGATGCTAATGCAGTGTATACTTCATTCTTTGACATACATGTTTTTATAATTCTACAATACATTATTGAGTCACAAGACACTGGTAGCGAGGTCATAAATCTAAATATTTTTTGAGAACGTAAATTTATTGCAGCTACTCTCAAATTCATATACTATTAATGGACGACACTACCCATGTTTTATTTAAACATTAATCAAATTATTATATTAATCCATAGTAGTAATATCGCATTCCATATTGATTTGAAACTATGACGCTGCTGTCACGAATCAGTATACATCAGGCTTTACAAACACAAAAGCCGAATTCTTATTGCATTTATTTGTAATTACTAGCAAGGCCACAATACCACTAACAATTGTATATATTTTGTTGCTTCAAAAATATATGATATCTCTTCTAATAATTAACTGCGATCAATCAAAAGAACATAGGTGCCTTATGTTTAATTGGAAGTCAATAAAATCTAGCATACGTTAGCTCTTGACTAGAAACTGTCTAAATGACCATTTGTTTATGCATTAATCAACTGTGATAGTAGTCATAGATTGCTTAAACAATACGTAATTTATAAATATAAATAGTTCCGTTTCTTTTTGTTTTTTAAACTGCACATTTCACTTATATTCAATGAGAATCATCATATTTGTTCACTGGTACACGTACACTGTGATTGTCGTAATAATTTTGTACCATTTCTCAAAAGCTTATCAATACATTAACTTACGTAATTAAGCTAATAATGCCAACGCGGAAACTATTGCTTATGTAATAGTAAAAACAAATGGCGATGGCAATATCCACACTACAGCTACCTCTAATTTCAAGGTCGATTGAGCTCTGAGAAACAGTAAATATACAGTCCTGTGATTCTGTAAACATTAAAACCCGAATTCAAAGTCCTTTCGATGTCCAAATTCACTTCAAAATCCGCTCTACCTTGTATTAGTAATAAGTTTCATAAGTGAAGTGAGATATTAGAGAAATAGAACATCCGAGACACATGGATAGATCAATCATTATTATATATTTTATAAAAAAAATGGAATCAATAGAATTTCTACACTAAATGAAGTGAATTCCGACACACGAGTGAATTCATCCAGGATTTTTACAGAATCACTCTGCAATATTCATATCACTTTTCACTAGGTCTAGCACCAACGGCGTTTCTTAGATGTCCCTTCACCGTCCATAGAGTTTATACTCTACTTATCTATCGCCTGTACGTGATCAGGAGGATTGCCTCGGGCGTGCCTCTGCCACATTTTGTTGTATAACATTTCGAGGCCGGTGGCGTACGCTTTGCAATCGAAGAGAGGACTCTCAGTACGCGCCGTCCATACTTTCGCCCTTATTGCTTTGAGACTGAAAAAATAAATTTATTATTAAAGTAGTTATGATTTAAAATTAAATCAAATAATAAGAATCTGTGGTTCAACAACTTATCACTAGAAATATGAATTTATATTAGACAGAACAATTCATCCTACTTTGGTAGCTCAATATCTTTAGATTTTTGTGTTCAAATGATAATTAATTTCTAGGGTTCCATACCCAAAAGGGTAAAAAACGGGATCCTATTACCAAGACAGCGCTGTTAGTCTGTTACTAGGCTGTATCTCAGGAACCATGATAGTTAGACAGTTAAAATTGTTCATAGATGATGTGTTTTTTGTTGCCGCTATGATAACAAATACTAAAAAACTTAATATTTACGGGGGCACCCATAAAAAACGTATTTTTTTGCTCGTTTCCAGTACGGAACCCTTCGTGCGCGAGCCCAACTCGCGCTGGGCTGTTTTTCTAATTATCAGTTATTTTTTCTAATTACCCTAATTATGGTAAGTAATACCAGTGTTATTTATATGCATATATAAGTTAAAACAAGCAATTAACAATAAAAGTTACACTTACTATTCCCTATCTGTTCCTAATCTTACAGCTATGTCTTGGTATTCCTGTCGTGTTCTAGCAATCAGTTCAGGGCATCCAAGTGTATTCAATTGAGAAGCGGCCACTCTGCAGAAAGAAAATTCATTGATCAGTAAAGATATAATATAAATAAAATGTAAGTATTAGATTATATAAGATTGATAGATTTTGAGAGTTAGGTTTTTCACCTACCTATATTTCCCGACGTTGAAACAGTCAGTTTAAAAGTTTATAAAATGTAAGAATACAGAACCAAGAAATAGATAATGAAATAGATAGTCGAATTTACTTATCTATACTAATATTAGGGAGGAGTTAATTTACTAACTTTGTTTGATTATTTATAGGGGGGTAATCATCGGAAACACTGATCCAATCCTGATAATTCTTTTATCTACGGGAAACTCAAACGTTACAACAAAACAATACTAAATCGTACGCTATTATTTACGTGGGCGAAATCGTGTGAAAAAAGGAAGTCATTTATGTCAATTAACTTAAACACTACCTGGACCAATATAACTTTAGATAGGATCTTAATAAAACTAGAACTTTTTCCTATGTGAAACATAGAAAACTTTATTGAGCTTGAGATTTTGTACTTCTCTCAATTCAGAAACCAGCCATTACTTTATTAATAATAAAAAGTAACTCAAAGTTCGCTCGTGAGCTTATAAATGTTAGGTTTATTATATTCAAGTTACCTCGAAGCCAAAGTCTCGCCGGGTAAAGTGACTACAGGTGTTCCAGTCCACAAGATGTCCATACTAGTCGTGTGTCCGTTACATAATGGTGTGTCGAGACATACGTCTGCTAATTGTCCGCGTCGTACATGTTCTTCTTTAGCAGCTACATTTGAGAATATGATACGTCCTGGAGGTAGTCCTAGGAAATAAGAAAAAAAATATGTATTTACAAAAAATTGCACCATTTCAGTTTGTTATATTAGAAATTAAAAATTTAAAAAAAAATCACAATGTCATATATTTTCCATCACTGGAATTGATAGAGGATTCAGAAAGAAACAAATATAACTACATTAATTAGTATGATTTCGATAATTTCTTTCTGAAATGTTATTTCATCACAAAACTGTTTTATGCTATTTGTGAACAAGTGACATACAATCTTGATCCATATTTGACGTCATGTGACTTTTTATTGATTTGATATTTTTTTGTTAATTAACTATGTTTTCAAAATATTGTTTCGATAGAATTGTCTTATATTTTTCACCGAGCAACAGCAATCTTAAATGATATTGGTTGTCACATAAAAACATGAGTTTTGGTCAAAGAAATTATTGCTACACAAGTCAACATACACACGGTAAAACATCGGGGTACCCATAATGGGAAATTTCTGCAAGATTTTGAATTCTACCCTCAATATGTTATAGATTTAAATTTGACAGTTTTATATAGTCTAATATCCAGTTGACTGTATACCTATTGTTAAACTTACCAAGCTGCTGTGCAGTCGCTTGTAGATTTGGCTCTCCAACAGCAGGAAATCTTAAGAGCCACAATACACTATTTGGCACATGCTTCAAAATGTAGACCCACATATGTAATGTCAGCGGGTCTATTTTATATAACTGGTTGAAGTTACAATAGACAACGGCGTCGTCAGGTAAGCCATATTGTTGTCGCGTAGTTATCACTATAGACTGAGGCACTTCTTCACCGGTGGCTGCTTTATTGTTAGTCTGAGTAGTGGCCAATCCGTTTTGTAAGATAACTCCATTCACAGAAGTCTGAAAATCGAAATAATTAACATTAGCAATGAAAAAAACCTGAATTAAAGAGAGAAAGTAGTTGTTTATTAAAAAGTTCTATTACCTGAACTTGCCCTGAAGCAATCATAGTTTCAATTGGAGTAGTAGTAGGTAACTCTGCAACTTTCAATGAGATTTCTACAGGTCTGGCGGCGCGGACGATCTCTTTTATTTCTTTAACATCTGTGTTTTCTACTAACGGGGAGAGATCGGTGGCATTGATCACCGCCACATTGTCGGCAACGCCGCCCAAATTATTGTGTCCCTTAACTTTGTCGCTGAGTATAAGCCGTTCTTGTAAATGAGGGAACATTTGTTTATGATCACCAACAAAGTATGTGTGTGGCATGTACGCGAGTTTCTCGCTATACTGGCTGGCTAACTCTAATGGAGACGTCACTGCGTCCGTCACTAAATAGTCCATGTAACTCGCTCCACTGGTCCCCGGATAACCCAGCCACATTACCTGAATAGGAGCGGGTCTCAATGCGAATATCTCGTTCCTAGCTCCTTTAGTGTATCCATTCATATTGACAAGAATATGAATACCGTCAGCATATATTTTGTCTGCAGCTTTGCCATTACACGACATCTGTGACAAGTCAACGAAATTCTCAGACTCTCTTGCTATTTTCGAACGGAACGTCGTACCATCATCGGCGCTTAATGCGTAACAGAATATTTCCACTTTGGACCTATCATGGAGCCCAGGCACAGATTGCATCAAATGGGAAGTGGGGTGATTACCAAAGTCGCTGCTGACGTAGCCGATTCGCAAACGACCTTGCAAATCACGTGGGAATTTGTAGGGGGGCTTATGAAGCACCTGAATTTTCTCTAGACATAAATTAGCATGACGCGCTGCTATCGCTTTTCTGAAATCGTGTGTCAACGGATAGAGCATCGAATGGTGTGGATGGACTGAAGGTAATCTATTTTTCTCCAATTGTTCTGCAACAATGCTAACTAATTTCTTCATACGAGCTTCATAATCAGTCCAGTCACAGACAATTTGCAAGCAATGCGCCAAATTACAATATGCGTCGGGGAAGTCTGGCTTAAGTTTTAGAGCTGTCCTGTACGATTGAATAGCTTCTGGTATGTTACCCGAATCCTTATGAATACTGGCCAGATTGCTGTGGGCATCGGCGAATGCTGGATTAATCTGAATCGCTCTCGTGTAACATTGCAATGCCCCAGCTACATCTTGCATTTCTTTAAGCGTATTCCCCATATTACTATAAGCGTCCGCAAAAGTAGGTTGAATACGAATAGCTTCTTTATAATGCATAAGCGCTTCATTTAGTTTTCCTTGCTGTTGCAAAACTGAGGCTAAATTGCTATGAGCGGCAGCAAATTCGGGGAAAACTTCCAATGCCTTTAGGTATAAACGCGTAGCCTCTTCAATGAAACCTTGTTCCCTTTTTATATTAGCTAGATTGTTTAATGAATCGGCATGAGATGGACACAGGCGTAATGCAGTATTGTAACATTCTTCCGCATCGGCTACCTGACCCTTTTCTTTCAAAGCATTCGCTAAATTACAATAAGCATCAGGGAAGTTCGGTTGTAGTTCTATTGCCCTTCTATATGTATCAATCGCTAAGTCAATAAGGCCTTGTTCATAATATACGCACGCAAGATTCCCGTGCACTACTGCATTATTAGGAGACAGATTAAGTGCACGAAGATATGCTGCTACAGCCCTATTGAATAATAAACAAAGTTAAAACCATGATAAAACATAAATAAACTTAAGCAAACAAATTAGTGGATATAATTTACCTGTCAAAAATTCTCGCCTCTTTGAGAACATTGCCCAAGTTGATGTAAGCATCCAAGAAATTGGGATCCAAGGCCACTGCCTTTTCAAAATGATGTATGGCTAGCCAAATTTCACTCTGCGCATTGAACACGCATCCCAAGTTGCTCCATGCCACAGCAAAATCTGGCCTTGTTTCGATTGCCTTCAAGTAACAAGCCTACACACACGAAAAAAAGTTTATATTAACAAACGAACCATACTTTATATGAAACTATGATGACATACTGACATGTTATTTACGCCACTAGAAATAAATTACACCACAGCATTGAACGGCACTGGATCATACACATTTAAAATTAATATGACCTAATACCGATCAAGGACTTAAAACTAGATTACGCCAACTGCGCCCTAACAAGACGAGAACTACGCCGAGAGCAAAAAACATCAGTAGGAAATGCAAACGACTCATCTCAATCCAACTCAACGCCCCATAGCATGTACCTGTGCAAACATTTCACAGCCCAAATTCAAAGGGGTACGACGACCAAACGCTTCCACTTCCTATCCGATGTGAAGATGGACACGACAATGATAGTCAAAGAGTACGAGTCTTATCCAATGGCCTGTCCAAAAGTTTTATTTCTCCAAACCTTTTCCACTTTACCTGCTTTTGGCATGTTGTCATCGCAGCGAGATAGCGAGTGTGGTACCAACCGTTACCCAGCTACATACAGCACCGGTCACACCTACCGTCTTACCAGACAACACCTTGTGAAATAATAACAGAATTAGTTGATTTTGAGTCAAATTAATTCCCGATCAACATAATTCGTATTACAAATCAAATGTATAATGCTTGAGAGGATCATTGTCAACTCACACTGTTCACGAGCTGAGTTAGCGACGGGCATGATGTGAATGATCATGTTATATATGTGACATGTGTAATACCTCTACGTGATATTACCACTACTGACTCCTTTGATCCTCATTACAATGTATAGTAAGAAATCACTACAAGCATAAAGGAAAACTGGCTAAATTTAAAAGAAGGAAACAGGATCTGTTACTGCATTGTGTTAAGTACAAACATCAAATTTAACATTAGTGTACTCTCTATTTATACAACTTTCTACACGTACGTTTTCTATTGAAACAGAATGTAAAATAGTAGAGCAACAACATCTAGTTTTAATGTTCAAGGCTGATGTTAAAGAAATAGAATGATTACAACAAAATAATAGGAAAGACACATTTGAAGCAAGTTTCGTGAGGTAGTCAAAGAAAAGAGAGTACATAAATATTTGAATTATACTCTATACTTGCTATTGCAAAACTTCACTACAATCTGTGCATCCTATTCGAAACGTAATAAAAACAATACAGTTGTACATTGTACAACACATAATTGCTATTAAATAAACATCAGAGTAAGAACTGATGGTAATTTCCGTTCATTCTAAGTCCGACTGACTGCATAATTTAATAGAGTAATTCGCGAACAATAAGATGGCTACTTCGATTATAACGCAGTGTAGAAAGTCAATCAGTATTACGCAATGCTATCGCAAAATATCAAAACGGAACTGTTTTAATACTTTGCGATCAATTTATAAATATGAGAAACAAGACAGAAGTAACTTAGCAAATTTACCAAAGTACTAATTCTATCTTATTTCCTTATCAACAACTGTAATGGTTTTAACAGGCAAGTATAAATATAGTAATATCGATCTGAAACATCATATAATATGTCGAAACCATTACAAACAATTGAACGCAATATGCTTTCTCACAAATGATTTACGCAATCGCAGAGTACGCTGGCAAAACAGAGAGTTCACTAATTTAATATGACAAGAAAGGTAGAGTCGGCGAATCCTGTTAACTTCACGCGAACAAAACATTAGATCATGAAATCTTATTTACCTTTGCCTCGTCCAGACGCCCTAAGGCCTTGAGCAAATTGCCCAGGTCGCTTCTGACGCAGTATAGATCCTGTAACAAACGTGAGTTAGTTATATTTGATCAATTTTGCAAGCAAAATGCTACCACCAGCCCTTTTACGTCCCCACTGCAGGTGCTCAGGCCTTCTTTATGGATGGTTAAGGAGGATGGGCCATGACCCTCCACGCTGGCCCAATGCGGATTGGAGGGTAGCAAAATGCTATATTGATATTTATTTTCAAGAAAAGTGTGAGATTGTCGAGAAAACTTCAGCAGTATAAGGTAGGGAAACCATCGGTCAAAGTTTTCTTGAATTTTCCTAGTTTGGAAAGGGGGTGCAAGGCATGGATTCGCGTGAAACGACTTACAAGCAGCATATGTATGTCAAGTAATTGGGACTCTTTTCGCAAATCTTATAGCAACTGTAATACATACTTATATCATTAATGCAAAAATATCTCTGTCGCTATGTGTCTGTTAAATTTTGACCCCTAAACTACTAGACCAATAATTTTAATAAAATTTCGTACACAGGTAAAGTGAACCAAGCCATTTTATCGACTTAAAGGAGTTGAAATAAGGGAAGTAAATACGAGGGACGGTAATAACCGAATTCCACGGGGGCAAAGCTGCGTACGGAAAGCTAGTACTAATAATAAAAATCTATCTGTTATTATTGACGTAATAATTACTTGTAATTTGAACTGGTACAATTACAATAAATGAAGTAAAATTAACTTGCTTTATAATGTCACGTTATTTTTGTACATAAAAGAATTTACGCCGCTTGCGCGGCGACTATCGAAACAATCTATAATATATAAAGCTTAATTACCACTCACTGACTCACTGACTCACTCCATGCTTTTTTCGGGTAGAAAGAGAGGGAAAATGACGTTTTCATGTATGAAGAGTGATAATATTTTTTTAAAATGAGTTGAAATGGCATTGGGGTTCAGCCAAAAAACAAAATGGCGGCGAGATAATTTTTTTAGTTTCTACATTATTCACTCTACGGTTACGATATTCAAAATGATAGTAGAGTGGGCTAAAAAAATGGCAATGCAAAAGGGTTTGATTAAAAAAACAAAATGGCGGCCGAGATATTTCACCTGGAAATTTGGCATTTTTCGACCTCTGTTCGGGCAAACGTCAATTGTTTTTCTGTGGGTTTGGAGGGGGGATTTTTACGCCGGCGACTCGGAATTATAGTCGATTTTCACGTACGGGGAGTTTTCATTTGCGCGTCAACATGACGGCGGCGGTGGCGGCCATTTTGTTTCGGCATTGAAAAATCGCCATTTTCCAGTGAGATTTTCTCCAAGATGGCGGCGTCGGACGGGTTCATGTCGTATGGGGCGGTCATGGGGCTCGGTGCGATCTTTCTACTTCACTACCGATTTCTACCATTTACGTGGTAGTTTAGGAGATTTTGGGAGAAAAGTGAAATTTCGAAATACGCACTTTTCGCGGAAAACAGACTCGATGCGGTGTGGCGCCGGGGAAGCCCTATGACTTTTGGTAGTTTTCGTTTCTGCGAACTGACAACCCTGGGCTCCACGGTAGAAAACGTGTTTTTCGACATGCCCTCATAACCCGAATTGTTTGGGAACCTGGGTGGCCAGCGGAGAAAATCTGTGAATGAGGTGTCATGCCAAATATAGTCGTGACTATGGGAAAATTATGAAACTCGGGAAAATCAATATGGTGGCGCCGGCAGCGGCCATTTTGTGATTTTTTCACTTTTTCGAAAAATTCAAACGCACTTTTAGCCTACATGGCAACATCGGAGCTCTTCGCCTGGTATGGAGTGGTCATGAGTCTCCGCGGGCTCTTTCGAATGACATGAAATTTTTCCCCGATTTCAGGGTAATTTCGGAGATTTACCCCAAAAAGGTGAAAAGTAGAAGGAGCCGTTTGGGAATTTCAAAAATGCTTTTCCGCGACGGAAGGCACTTCCCGAAATGACATTTGACCATTTTCATCACCGTCACCTGGCAACCCTGGTGTTTGCGGCGATTTGAAAAATTTCACCCATTTTTTACTTTGTCGACTCTAGCGCAGTCGGTATTGCCATTAGGAAAATGGTAAAAAGTGCATCGAATGCGCTATCGAGTTGGCCACACCGGTACGGAGCCGGATTTTCAAAATTCAAGATGGCGGCCAAACCAGCGGCCATTTTATCCGAAAAATTGGGTACCGTCACCACGTCGAGCCGATTTTGACGCACTTCGCGACATTTGTCAGATTACTTCCGGGGAAACAATTTTTAGGCAAGTAGATAAAGTATTGCCAGGTGAAAAAAAATCTTGAAAACTTTCGATACTTTATGAGATTTTTGAGGAAACACTTTTTGTCGAATTTTGAATTTTTTTCGATGCAAATATTTTAATTTTAACTTTTCAAGATACCCGATGGAAAAAATAGAACGATCAACTGGCAACACTGAGAGCAAACAACGTTTGAAATTCAACCTCGATTTTGACCGACTTAGCAACCCCGCAGGTATTCGGCATGTATGGAGCGATTGTGTATCTCTATAGACTCTTTCATGTGGTGGAAAAAAATTACCCGATTTTAGGGTAGTTTTTGAGATTTACCCCAAAAACTATAACTGTCAAAGGAATACTTTTAGAACTTGAAAATTGGCATCCGTCGATGGATGGCACATCCCGAAATCACACTTGACCATTTTCATCGCCAACACCTGGCAACCCTGGCAGTTACGGCGGTTTGAAGATTTAATGCCCACTATTCACGTTTTGGACTCTAGCGCAGTCATTATCGCCGTTAGGAAAATAATAGAAACTGCATTGGATGCGCCAATAGATGGGCTACATAGGTCTGAGGTTGAAATTTCAAAATTCAAGATGGCGGCTTAAACAGCGACCATTTTATCTAGAAAATTGATCATTTTTCATGACTTTCACTTTATAAAGCTGGCGTTTTTGGTAACATTTTTAAGAATACTTTTAACAAAAAATATGTACTCAGCTGAAGTGTTGCCAGATGAAAAAAATCCGGAAAATTGATTTCTTTTATACTGTTATTTATAGGAAATTTTCTATTGAGTAATAAAAGACTACAAGTCTATCTATACAATATTTATTTTAAGTTTTTCTTGCGTTTTCAACTGAATATTTCTTTTTATATTGCGTATAAACTGGCAACCCTTTTTTTATGTAGATAGAACTTACTAACTTTTTCTAGGCAATTTTATACTGTAAACCCAACATAACAAGAGGCGGACTTAAAACCTCAATATCTCTATTAACTAAATATTAACTTACTATTGAATAAGAATATATGTTCGATTGTTTTTTAATACTATACAGTAATTTACTTATAAATAAGAATGACAGAATAAAAGACAAAAAATATTTTAAGTATCTGTACAAAATTTATTTTAAGTTTTGCTTGCGTTTTTCAACTGAATATTTCTTTTTCTATTGAGTGTCAACTGGCAACACTTTTTCTTTGATGTATGGTGCTTTGTGTCCTTTAACACCTTTTATTTGAAGATAGAACTTACTGACCTTTTCTACGCAATTTCAAACTGTAAACCCGACATAACAATAGGCTGACTTGAAACCCCACCGCCCCGATTCCACCAGCTACTCGTGACCTCCCCGGGCTGCTCGCAGCCCGGGGCAACCAAGCGAAAGCTAGTTTTTGATTCTAAAATTAAACCACTTAAAATAAAATATGTTCAGGTTCCTATAAGACAATCTTTTTCAATGGATTTTCTAATTGCTTAACCTTAATTTCTAAGTTAAAAAATGTGTTATATGTAGTTCTGTTGTTTATTCATTCAATAAGACTCAAATTTGTGATATAGGAATGTCCCAGTATGACGGGACGTGTGGCCGCCTCTTTGAATGTGCCGTACTTAATATATGATAGGAAATGTTTAGTCGTTTTTTTATTTTTACAAGAAAATATTCATTTCATTATAAAAATAATAATAATCATTTGTATATATATCTTAGAATGAGCCTATTTATGTAATCATCAAAATTTTATAAAATAATGTTGTCAAATTAAGGTGTCAAGAATTCAATAATGAAACACTGTTAGAACAGACTATAAGACTGGGCTATTAAATATTATGAAAACTAAAATAACAATGACATCATGACACACATGAAAACAAAAACAAACAATAGATAACACCTACTGTAACTAAAAATTAAGTGCAAAATATTATCAACATCCAAGGTCACTACTCGTAATACAATTCAAGTAATCCAAAACTATGCAAGTTCTCGTATTGATTTCATATTTTAAAGTAATGAAGTAAAGTACCAAAGAGACTCCAGGAACATTTCCATGTAATCTGATTGACTTCTATCATAGTATGTCTATGAGAAGTCACTCTTCATATCAATTTCATTTAACACAGGTACAAGATTATTAAAAAGATTTTTACTCTTAAAACAAACCTTTATTTTGTTTTGTTCCTAAATATTATGTATGAAGATATGTAGAAACCTATAGGTTTCTACATATACCCTATATATAAACCTATAGGTTTCTACATATCTTTTTACAGATATTCTAACATTGACTGAAGCTCATTTATGCTTCAATAAATATATGGAAATTGACTTGCCTCTACTCTAGAGAGTAGGTTTAAGTGGTTAATATATGTATATAAAGTTTAATGAATTAAACAATTATCAAACTTTGTACTCACTGGATTATATTGTAAAGCTGTGACGTATGCTTGAACAGCCTGTTCCATATCACCTGCTGCCACAAGTGCAGCAGCCAGGTTAATATAACCATCAATAAAGTCCGGCTTTAGTCTCACGGCATGCCTGTAGTTTTCCAAAGCCTCTTGTAACTGTCCACGCTCCTTATACACATTGCCGAGATTACTAGACAGAAGAAATACATTAATTTAGTAATAGAATCACAAAATATGAAATATTAATAATCTAATTAAATTCTTGCTTTCCTAGTCAAGTAAAAAAAAACCTCTTAATTAGTATCAAGTAAATCAAAAACTCTATAGTATGTTAGAAAAATAAAAGTTGACAAATTGTTAGATTATATTGCCCTACCTATAAAAACAATCCACTCAAAATATATTTTTAAATCACATACCCAATTATAAGTGAATGTTTTATTACTTGTTCCTTAATATTATTGTAATGTGGATTTTGAAAATATTTTATTATTCTAAAAGTATTTTTTTAAAGTTGGGATTATCCCAAGGTAATTATTTTAAAAAAAATATTTAGGTTTACAACAGACATATTTTCCATTTATTAGTCAATTTTTCTGATTCATTATGAAATTAATTAATGTATTTTGTCATTTTCATCATTTCATAGTACTTTGCAATAAAACATATGTGATAATCATATAATTACCTTGGTTGAAATAATAATACTAATTTGCCAAATTACAAAACCAAAATACTATAGTAAAACTTCTGACTATTAATAATAAAGTTATGTAATGTAAATTCTGAAATCATAGTTAACTAAAAGTTCAAAAATTATCTTGATTTCGCAGGCCCTTAGCAATTTCTTCCCTCAATAAGCCTGAAGTTAGGCAATCATCAAGACATTCTATAGAATAACTATGATTTAATAATAGTATCCGTTTCATTAATATCTGACCTTTAATATGAAACAGCTAATTATTTATAGCTTATGAGTGCCAAAAAGACTAGACTACAATGTCATTAAAGATACTTTCCCAATCTCAAAAACTACTGCAACAATAAATTCAAACATTGTTTCAATTTACATTAAAAATTAGAAAGAAGACAAACAAATTTCAAAACAATACACATAGCAATGTTGTTGTTTAAAAGGCCATTTCAATGGTAATTGTAATTGACTTTTTCAAGATTCAATCTTGAAATGTTATCGTCATACATTACAAATTCCATGTTTTGAGATGATATGATTTTTTTTCATAAAGGCACTTAATCTTAGGTTTACTAAATTTTAACTATGTAAAATCCAAGTCTTAGCAATATTTACCTATATGCTTCAGCCAACAAAGGGTTCTGTTTAATCGCCAAGGTAGAGAAATGTGCAGATTTATCAAGTCGCCGACATTGAAAATGGATGGAAGACAATAAGAGGAGAACTCCTGTGTTTGTACCGTCCTGCCGCCACAGCTGCATACAATGCAATTCTGCACTTTCATAGTCACCTGCCTGATATTCCCGGTGAGCAAGTTCTAGAAGGCCTAAGCATAAAAATTTAACGCATAAATACTTATATTACAATAATAATACTTTATACACTTCCTTGTCCACAATACGTGCGACAGTAGAACTTTGTAATATGACTCCAGATATCATGGGCTTTATAAGACTTATAAATGAGAGATAAAAAGTGAAAAGCATACACTTACCTACTGTCGATATCTGCTGGATATCAGACATTTTTAAGATTACGGCATTTGCTGGAACACCAACAATTTGTTGAGGCTGCGTTGTGACAGATTGTGGCACGGCAACATTTGCTTGAGGTTGCATTTTCGTTATCATAGTTCAATTAGTTCACAGTACTTAAAACGACAACAATATAATTTCTTTCACATTACAATCAGCCATTAATCGATGTTGTCCATAGCGTTGATTTTCCACCATCACTCACAAAAACCAATAAAAGGAATGACCAACGTAGCTGGATGGATGCGACCACGATAAACGGAAACAACGAACGAGCTTTGTTTGTCTATGCCTTGCCTGCGTTGAAATTATTTTTACTAATCCAAATCTCACCTTTACACCTACCACTTATAGTTTAGAATTGCAAACGTATAACAGTCCAATGAATGATACTACCGCTAGAGAAGGCTATGGTTTTTTACTTGCGTCTCTACTTCCGGGAGATAATATGTATTAGTCTTTATTGAATTATCGCTTTTTTACACACCTGGCAAAATTAATTTACAATAAAGAATAATCTATATGTTTACTCCGAAAATGAAATGTAAATGATATTCAAATTAAATAGTTTGAAGGTTCGAGTATCGATACTATGATGAGCAACGTCATTTTAAGCGGGAATTTCAAATGAGAAATTTCAAATTAGTATTTTTTACTTTACTTAAAATTATGGTATAAAGTTTTTTTTATTTAAAAAGCTACCTTAGAGAAAAATACTGGAAAAATTCACGAGTCCCAGGCATCCCATTGCGTTAAGGGTTCGTTAATGTATATATTTTTTCTTTCGTAATCTTGGTTTTGGTTTACTCCATGGATTTGGTTTTGATGCTCTAGCTAGAGAATCTAGTGCTCCGAAAGATCATATAAATGTTTTCATATAGCTGGCGAGACACTATACCTCCTTACAGTTTGCGTGGACGTTTTAGAATTTAGACGACTGCAAATTGGGGAAGATTTCATTAGAGTTAATAGTGATGCCGGTAGAGAAAAGTCAAAGGCATCAAAATGCATCATCAATATTACTAAATAGAAAATAAAGTGCCCAATATTAAGGTAGCCGTTGTTACACATCAATTCCCCTTTACATAGGCCGTAGGCCGTAGCTGATAAAAATAGTTTTTAGGCGACCGACCTTAGATTTTGTGGTCGAATTTAGTTGTTTCATTTTTAACTTTCTTGATGTTACTACTAACAATTAAACTAGGTACATTTCATTGACGCGAATCAGCACATTTTTTCGCATCACAAATGTATATAAACTTTAGTCAGGCATTGGACATAGTTAATCATAGTGTTTTGCTCCAAAAATTAGTTTTGGTGGTCCTTACTATGTTGGTTTGGCGTTTATCTTGATAGCATGAAATCTTCCGTTGCTATTAATGGTCAGCTCTCAGATCCCTACATTAACATTACAAGCGTTTCTCAGGGTTCTTATTTGGGCTCAGTTATGTTTAATATTTTCATTATTATACTACATTGAGTATTCAAGTGCATATCTATTTGCAGATGACTTAAAAATTGCCAGAACTATTGAAGATGATGGGGACGTATCTCTTTTACAAAGTGATATAGAGAAAGTGTCAGAATGGTGTCTGATCAATGGAATGCGCATTAATGTCAACAAGTGTATAAGATTCACCAGAAAACATAATCCTGTTCCATCGCTCTACCGGATGAGAGGAATTGCACTGCAGAAAGTTGCCCATTTGCTCGAACTAGGAATTAAACCTACTCAATGAAATATTAACGTTTACCACGATACTATCATTAGTAAAAACGCTAAGCTAATGTAATAAGTTTTGTTTGTGCACAAACCAAATTAATCCCGCTTTTTCCCTCGGTGAGAAGTGGCTTGGAGTATTGTAGTGTGGTGTGGAACCCATTGTTCAATGTTGATGTTAACCGTGTTGAGAGGCTTCAAAAGCATTTTGTCTGGGTGAGCGATTTTAGATATTTCATTTCTCCATAAAGTGCTCGATGGGCCATCGACTGTTTCCAAATACCAAGTGCTATTAATTTTTATGTTCCCAGAAGGTACCCTTGGTAATATTCCACTTTTTAGATTACCAGCTACCAGAAGCAGGCTAGGTTCCCATGCTCCTTAATAAAGGTTAATGAAACTTCATGCATTTTTGTGCCCGCATATGGACATTTTTTGTACTTCTCTGGTTAATTTTAAAAGGTCTTAATGAGCAATTAACTGTTCCATGAAGGTTGACAGAGCAACATTTGTTTATATCTCGGTTGTAGTTTTTTTTTATATATAGGTATATTGTTGTATAGTTTATCTTAATATAGGTTTCATGCATTTCTGCCTTTAATTGATAAGGCGCTAAAAAACTTTATAAAAATAAGCTTATTTTAAGTATATGTAATAGTGTAGTTATTATTTGACTGTCCTAATAAATAAATAAATTTGAATAGGGTATCGTCAAATAAAGGCAACATCAAATAAAACATTATTTTATTTTGTAATTACGATATAAATAGTGTCTTGGACGGAATATTTTAAAGCTTAAATACGTTGAACTAAATAATACTGTCCGATGTTGAATAATATTATCTTATAATATTAACCAAAATTTATTCCAGATAAGAAAGTAAATACGCAACTTCACAGAGATCTTGAGGTACAGATTCATGGTAGCAAATGTATAATTCTCTTGGCTCTGGTTCACTGAATACACGTCTGCAATACAAAATAAACACCATTAAAATTAATATTTATTTGATAAATTTCGAATTCACAGTGCTATATACTGAAAAATATTCTTAATGAAAAATGCTTAAAAATCCACTTGGTCCCATCCGCTCACATCCGCTCACATCAGGTGACAGGGACTTTTAAGCATTTTTCATTAAGACCATTAAAATTGATAAAAATCTACATATTTTTTATTTATTTAATGAGTAATTTCAAACAGATAGGGGTGTGCTTAAATGGGATCTGCATGAAGCCATTCACCACGGTACCGCCTCCAACCACGGTACCGCCTCCAACCACGGTACCGCCTCCAAAGCTTACCACACTCTAACTCAACTATACTAAAAAATTTATGCAATCTTTAACATTATAATTACACTCTTGTGAACAATTTGTTCCTGTTTACTTAGTTATTAACAGAATTAAAAACGTAGTTTGCAAGTATTCAGAAACTGAATTAGTTTAGTCACCATTATGACATAATTTGACACACAAAATCCAGGCCCGGACTAAGAGGGAGCAAACCGGGACATTTACGCCGGAGTCAGCAAAACCATAAAATACAGTTGAAATAAAAACTCACTTTTTTAGAATACAACATTTGCCATTTATGATTAGAAAGAGAAAGTTTTTATTTTTGGCTGTTTTACCCAAGCAACACTGTGTGTGTGAATAGAAGCACGGACACTGATACCTGTGTTGATACAAACTGGCACTGATACAGTACTGATATATATACTCGTAAATTATAAGGCTAAAGCGGGAAATTCACTAGACAGGCACGCCCGCGGGCAAGTCTGCCGGGCATGTCTGTCGTTCATAACACACTACACAGACTCGTCAGTTAGTGTTTGACGCGCTAAGCGACTGGTTGTGTTATCAGTGCATATTACAATGGCTATGAAACGGAGAAAAATAGCATTAGTAGCTGCTGCATTAATTCTATTTGACGAAAAGAAAAAGAAAAGAGTTTGGTGTAAAGAATGGTACAAAGGAGAAATACGTTTAGCCATATAAATTTACTTAGAGAATTAGAAACTGATAAACCAGGTAACTTATACAATTACATGCGCATGGATATTTATATATTCTTCCCAAAAAATTTTATTTTCATTAAAACTCATTTTATTTCACGTCGTCGACGTCCGTAACGCTTGCTATCCGGCTCGGGTCTGAGCAGTCGGCCCGCTGTGAGCATTCACCTACACTTGTCTGTGCCCGCGCACACAAAATAAGATCTCACTGACGGGCGACGGGCAGACTGGCAGACTGCCTGTGACGGACCTACACTAGGCAGACATGAGACAGACCTATAGTCCTGGCAAGCATGTCTGCAGACTTGCCCGCGAGCATGCCTGTCTAGTGAATTCTCCGCTTTAGTCTTATTGACTAGAGTTAAGTGATGGTTAAGATTAAAGTTTAATGTGATTTGTAATTACGGCATATTATGTTAGATTGATATTATTCCTGTTATTAGATGGAGTCTATTTTACTACTTAGTATTTGGGGTGGCGTATTTGGGTATTGTTTTATTTTGCGAAGCGTTATCTAGTTATATTGTTGATCAAAGAAAAACAACAAATGTGATTATATTTACCCGACAACCCAAAATTGAAATGGATCCATATTTTTCTTAAGACCGCATTTACTCATAATACTTTGTGGAACTTGAAACAGCATACCATATTCCTTAACCGCAATAAGTATTTTATTAAGTGGAGTTGATGAAACCTGATTTGTTTTAAATCTGAAATTATAAAAATAATATCGAATGTAATGAACAACAACAACAAGAATAATAACTTATTTATATTCTTCAATAACCATGTATGACAAGCTTTTCGCCCTATATTTCACTATAAAAATTATATTTTTATATTTCACTATCCAGCCCTTTCCCAAGGTTCACTCTATCTGTGAACCAAATTTCGGTAAAATAAGGTCAGTAGTTGAAGAGAAAACGTAACAGAAACGAAACAAAGTAGTACACTCACATTTACAATATTAGTATAAATTAATATGCAATTCTAAAAAATTCACTGATAATATTTTGATAATCTACAAACCATGATTACTATGATAGGTAACAAACCTTATACTATGCTGTAGTAATTCATGTATTCTTTGACAAGCAGATCTAAAAGTCTTAAGTATGTACGAATACAATTTGTTATTAGCTTGTGTTTCTATGTTTTTCACGGGTGCAATAAGGATTCCGGTTGTCGATTCCAACTGCATAAAATGGAACAAAACATTATCATCACCTGCGGTTATCCTAAAATGAAAAAAAAAAGCATGTTATTGGTTAACAAAATGGTTCACCACAGATCCGTCTTTGTACCCATAACAAAAAGGTTTTAACATTTTAAATCCTACATATGACTCTTAAACGAAAGTCTGAAATTTTGTGATTTATGACAAATACATTAGCTGCGAACGCATTAATCGATTAGAAACGTGAGCCGCAATACATGCGATTTTACATTTTCAGTTATAGGTACTTTAACAACGGTCTCGGCGTCGTACTTACCTATGGGTTGTAACTTGGTCTATATCATTTAACAAGGATTTTCTGATATCGGATACGTCAATATTACTGCTTGCTCTACTGCTATCCTGTAATGTTTAATTGCAAAATATCATCATTTGGCATTCTAGACAGGGCCGGATCTATGGCTGGGGGCAAGTGGGGACACTTGTCCCAGGTATCAGTGTATTTTATTAGTAAGTCTAACATAAAAGTATAAATAATCTATTAAAAAAAACCGCCAAAGTGAGATGCGGCCTCGCGCACGTAAGGATCCGTACCATTATCCCAAAAATGGCAAAAGAAATCACATTTGTTGTTGGGAGCTCGCCTACATGTAATAAACATTTTAATTATGATAGTATTTGCTTTTATGGCGGCTACATAAATACATCATCTGTGAAAATTTCAACTGTATATCTATCACAGTTCATTAAATATTACAACCCGGTGACAGACGAACGGACAGCGAAGTCTTCTAAATAAAGTCCCGTTTAACTATATATATTTTTTAAACGTTACTAGTCATATAAGTTTATTACATAGATACAGTTACCTGTTTATCCCAATCGGAATCTGACCCAGAGGAGTCTCTTCGATTTCGTTGTTCCCTATCAGCTCTTCTTCCTTGTACACGATCATCGCTCATTTCACTAGAAAAAAAAACAGATACGTTACATTTACACTGCGAAAGAGAGAATGATTATTATCTTGCAACTCTTAAAGGAATTTTAATATGGGATCTTTCTATTTCTAATCTTATAGTATCGAATTTTTTAATTATCCCTCACCTTACCTGTTACTCTTAAGGCTATTGGAATCTTCAGAATAGCTAACATCTAAACTGGAATGTCTATACTGCTTTTGTGAACCACTGTACCATTGATTATACAGACTGTGATTGCTTCCGTAATTGAATATATTACCGTCACTAGTGCTTGAGCCAACATTTATCTGTTCTGAAGAACTATGACGCTTTTTTAAGTCCGATTGAAACTTGGGTAGTTTCAATGTTGAACTTCTTAAAGAAACATCTGATTTAAAATCTGAAAAAAAGTCTTCTTGAAAAATGCCTCAATTTACATTGAAAGTTAAAAGACATTTCATTGACGATTATTTCATATAATAGATATTAAAAAAGGTTACAAAAATAGCATACCACAAGTCAAATATCCGCAAACTGTTTTCTACTCAACAATCAATACACTAAGGAAAAAAAATTTACAGATAAGTTTTGTGGACAATATACATAAGTAAAACTACTTACTATGAACATCCCTTAATTTTTTTCCTACTTTAGTTAAATATTCTGGTGAAGTTTCTACTTGAGGCATAGTGTTTGATGAGAACCACGAGGCCAAATATCTATTAAGGCCAACGTCATAAAGTAATTCCAGGCAACTTTCACATTCTTCCACATAAAAAGGTGAGGGTGGTGTTACACCCAAAGCCTATAATGAATTAGATTACTATAACGATGTTTTCAAAAGCTAACACTTTTATTGTTACTAATAGGGTAGATTATGTGATACCAAGTTCAAATCAACAAAATTTTTAGAAAAACTAAAATATAATTAAATTCATTGGAACATTAAACGTAAACGTAACCTATTAAGTGTCGTATAGGCGTGACAAGGACAAAAAGCATCCCCCCCACATAATTCTATAGACGGGTAAAATTTTAATTACCTAATCTATTTGATTTATTAGTAATGTAAAATTTCTATATGATATTAAGAGATTGCGCCTGATGCAAAACCCTATTAAGGAAAAAACGTTTCAGTTAGTAAAAATACCCACACATCACAAAGAACACAAAAAAATAAAACAGATAATTTAATGCTAAATTCTACTCAAACCTACATCTTCTGTACATCCACCCGCTTCCATCAATGTCGCCAACAAGAATTGACCTTTGCCAACCAGTAGCAGAAACCATCTGCCATCAGGAATTCTGTAAAATATTTTAATAAAAGTTCTATTAATTCTCCTATCTTTCACGTTAATAAAACAAGCAATTAAGAAAAGCTTATTTTCTCTTGATCAATAAATCAAATAAAAAATAGAGAAAATCGTATTATTAGATTGCATTACCAATTCATAACTTACATAGTAAAGTAATACAAATCAAATTTAAACTTCAAGTCAATTTCACATTCTAGAATCTAGACAATCTTTTAATTTGTAAACATAAAAAGGCACAAAACTAAACTCAATTCTGTAAAAAAATATATATATACCTATATTCATTCTCATCATGTTTAATTCTATGTTCACTAATAAATACTTCCTTCCATAGAACCAACTTTTCCAGTTCTTTTTCAACACTCAGCCCAAGTATACCCGTGAGTTTTAAATATGCATGGATTTCTTTTAAATCTTCATTTTGCAAATGTGAACTCAATAGATGTCCAGAATAATAAAGACAAGAACCAATGACAGTATACAACCTTTGAAAATTTTCAATATCATCTGTCTGTAATAGAAATAAAATTTCAATGTAAATTAAGAACATAAAACCTAATATATAACATATATTGTCATATGTATAATAATATAATAATAATCATGTAATTTAAATTAAACTAGAATAAAATAAAGGGATCATTTATAATATAGTGCATGATTCTATTTAAATAAACTTTGCAAGATTTACAATAATAGAATCTTTAAATCTTAAATAATTAAAAAATTCATCAGTCCCAGATGTCAGAGATGGTATTGGAACCAACAACCTTTCGCAATAAAGTAACTAACTATTCTTTCATTTTAAATATCAATAGAGCATTGTGAATGCAAATTAATCAATTATAATAGTGACAATTTTCATGATAATTTCTTGTCAGCTTTAAAATTCATTACTTTGAATTAGTCATAATTATAAATAAATTTCTGAATATGGGATTAGTCAAAATTATCCTTCCTGAATTTTGTACTCCTTCCTAAACAGTTTTTTAAAAGACTTACATTACATTCTGATCTATGATTTTATCTAACTGGGCCAGAAATGTACGCCCTTCCCCTACAAACTCACCAAATTGTTTGGGACCCCGTGTCATTGGCAACCAGAGTAAATGCCCCCACTTGGCCCTAGATCCTGCCCTGCTTATGATTAAGATGATGACAATAATAATATATATAGTGAAACTGACCCATTCACGATAATCAGCTGCCTCGAGTTCTGTGATAGCATCATCAACTTGTATTTTTACTTCAAGGGGTAGAGTAGCTGTGTGAACAGCCAATAAGTCTTCAAAATAACGAATTCCCATAGAAGTATCACAATCACGGCAATTCTCATCCTTACTTAATATTGTAAGAAACATTAGACAAAAGAGATTGTCTAATTTATCAACATTATTGGGCTTAGTAAAACAATATTTAAGTGAACCATAAAGAAATTCTAAAACTCTGACAATGTTGTTGCATACTTTATTTGTTGCAAACAAATCCACTCGCTTATTAGGAAATGCCAATAATAATAAATCACTATAGTATGGAATGTATGCTACATTTATAAGAGAACCATTATATAGGACTGTTGAAGCAATTGGTTCACTAATACCTAGTGATTTTGGAGTCAAATGATTGAGAGTAACATAAGCACCCCTTGTATTGTACAAGAAGTTTTGATTAAATGGTCTTGGATAACAGTACAATACACCCTTATCATCATTGCTGTGGTATTCTATATCATTACAGCAAATGTACAAAACTGCACACATTGACTCTCTCAAAAACTGTATTAGTGAATTTCCTGGTGCTGTCTTTGAAGACAACAACTTTTCTTTATTTATGTAGAATTCATCATCTGGTACTTTAAAAGTCAATTTAGGATTACAGTGGTCCTCAGAAACTCTATCTAAAATTTTATTAATGTTGAAAGAATTGATTTCAACACCATTTATTTTTATTAAGTGGTAACCTTTTTTTACATTAGGCAAATAGATAGCCTTTGCTTCCACTAAGAAGTCTGAAACAATTAATGTCTTTTCATCTGAATGAGTTTCTAGACTTAAACCAAACAGTTTCTCAATTTGACAATTTTTTTCACTTGTGAAAATCATGCTTTTACTAATCTGAAAGAAGGAAAATGTTACAACTACTAAATTGTACATATTTCTTTCAAAAAATAATTTAATTTGAAACACAGAAACATAATAATTAATTTTAATTTGTGCATAAATGAAATTATAACAAACAATTGCAATTTACCTGTATAACAATAATATTGCTGTCTTCCTCAGAATTAATGTGTTTATTCTCAGTACTTCTCTTTTTTCCAGCATCATTGTCACCAGTCTTTGATTTTCGTACTTTTAATGCTCTGAATATACGTCCTACAATGTAATATTTATTCATTATCTCCTAATCACTCCATTATATATTTGAAATAGGACAATTGTTACCTTTAGTAGAACGTCTTGTTGATGATCTCTTAAAGTTGTTTCTAAGTTTAAATTTTTCACAGTTCTCAAGGAGGGCTGATTTGAATGCATTGTCTGTTTCAATTACTTTTGTTTTAATGTAAACAAGTTCACCATCTTCACATACATCAGAATCCCACTCCGGTACAGAACTGAAAATGAGAAAAGCAAATCTAAAATAATCGAATTTATATTTATTATAAAATAACATGAAAATACCATTCGTACCTACCTTTCAGAATCCGAATATTTTGAATCATCAGAAGAATTAGTCCAATCATTATCCGAATCGCATGGACTATCATAATTAGTCAATTTACTTTTAATATTATTCATTGTAAGTTCACAAGTCAGTAAAATAATTTCTAAGTAAATTTTTGATCTTGATTAGAATCAATACGACAAAACAAATATCATAAAGGATAAAGACTTAATCTGCAACATTATCTAATATAACATTTAAAAAATTATCCAATCCTGAAAAAAATATTTACGCGACCTTAACGAAGCAAACATGTAAAATTGTAAACAATCGCCCAAAGAGCAAGAGCAAAATGACAATGACAAGAGAAAGTAGTAGTAGCAGTAGGTACCTAGTAGTAGTTTCGTTGACAAGAGAAAGAGTAAAGTATAACAGCTTAAATCAGTGGTCGGCAACATGCGACGTTTATTTCAGTATAGGCTAATTAATAATAAAATAGAGATAAGCAATCCATTAATCGTTAGTACTAATACTTAGAAAATTTCTAACTACTTATCAACTTTTTATGAAACTTAATTTATGAATAGACAAGAATATTTGGATTTTGTAGGTAACACTAAAAAGGTAAATATAAACATTATACTTAAAAACTTAAGTAAAGAACTTTATTTCATTTTTTTTATTATATAAAAAAAACAAACATGTTTTAACGAATGTTAAAGTCATCTCATTTCATTTTCGATCGCCTTTTTCTTTATTTTTTTTTATGGGATAGGGGGCAGACGAGCAGACGGATCACCTGATGGTAAGTGATTACCGTCGCCCATGGACACCTGCAACACCAAAGGGGCTGCAAGCGCGCTGCCGGCCTTTGAGGGACGAATCTGACCATAGGGAGGGAAGGGTTGAGGGGTAGAGGGAAGGGAATAGGGAGGGGTTGGGCCTCCGATACCCTCACTCACACGACGAAACGAAACACAACGCAAGAAGTTGCTTCACGTCGGTTTTCTGTGAGGCCGTGGTATCACTCCGGTCGAGCTTACTGTAAATATTAAATGTTTTTATTAATATCATATAATAAAAACATTTAATATTTACAGTAATCAAAATTATGCAGTCACCCTATAGGAAACTTCTGTTTTCGTAATACTATATTGAAATTAATTTAAAAAGTACTAAATTGAACCTTTTCGCAATGAGGAAGTATTAAAAAAACATTAGTTCCCGAAATCAAACTAGATGTCGCTACAGTACGTTGTTGATTTCTCCATAACAACCATTGCGGTTTTTTTTCAAGTTTAAAAGTAAATTAGTTTTCAAAACTTAATAAACAACTCATATTCTATTTGTACTTTTTCGTATTTGTATTGATATCTAAGTTTCGAACTTTTCAAATTTCAGTTTTTGTTTTGGATCAAAGACAGTCACTTGTCTTTGGTCCATACGTTTCCTGCAAAAATCAACTTTTTTGTTTTTTTAAAACAAAAGTACTAAAAATGCACCAACCATCACCAACCAACAAAGCAAGATTAAATCTGATTTTTGCAGTTTTCTTGGGATCATCCATAAATTACGTCACACGATCAAAGAAGTTCCCTTGCACGTCTATAATTATATGATTATTATAGCAGCAATTCTTTGAAGACGATACTTCGCGATAGGTAAAACTTATTTTTGCCTCTAATGAAATTTCTTGTGTTGGTTGGTGGCCATGTATGATGCAAAATATAGACTACAGATGTTTAAAGTTCGTGTTTTAGTACTTAGATTATAATAGATTCTGAACGTGATTTATGAATTAACTTAATGCTCAAATTACAGTTTTGATACCTTACTTACCACCTTAATTATTGCTCTTAGTGACGCTTCCGATCGCTTTTGCTTTTACATCGGTTGTTCACTGAAGAATGTCGGGACGGGTAGCTCACCGCGTATTTAAAGCCCTCGGCTCTCCTGTTGTATTCGAAGCATTACCAAAAAGTTCTAGAACAGCTACACGTCCCTTTCTTCCCTAGTGACTCTCTATGTGATGTATACCTATATGACACAAGCAGTTTGAACAGTGTTAGCGTCATTAATTGGCGAATCAGTAACAATATTGTAGTGGGTGATTTTAAATAAAACATCTTGCTGTACAGATACAGGACTGATCAAAAAGATAACAAACTGCTTATTCGTAATTGGGAGTTAATGGTTCATATGATCCAATACAGGCCTTAAGAAATTATTTTTTTATTTTGTGTCATCGGATTCTGATTCCCAAACTTATTTTGTCTACTGCCCACTTTTTAAATAATTTATTTTTTAACTCCCCCATTTTTTCATCTACTTAAAAACCACTATAACTACAAATTAATTTAATTCATTACTGTAAACTATATTAGTGGAGATTAAACATAAACGAAACTTTCACTATACTATCTATTACTATAGACTTTTACTATAGGGCACTCCCAGATGTGCGGGCTCCATGGAGGGTAGGAAACGGACTGGATGAAGACTTTACTCGACACAGTATGAACACACAAAGGTTCGATTCACTACCACACACATCAGCAACTGCTGACTCAATTGCTTCTGAGCAGGCCTCAATGACGCTCGGTGGCGTAGTGGATAAGCGCCGCGGCCCACGATCTTAGTCGTTAAGCAACTTTCGCTAGGGTCGGTCTCGGGATGGGTGACCAAAAAATTATTATCTCGAGTTACTCCGTGCTTCGGAAGGCATGTTAAGCCGTTGGTCCCGGCTGCATTTGCAGTCGTTAATACCCTCCAATCCGCATTGGGCCAGCGTGGAGGGTTATGGCCCATCCTCCTTAACCATCCATAAGGAAGGCCTGAGCTCCTGCAGTAGGGACGTAAAAGGGCTGGTGATGATGAGGCCTCAATGATATCCTCAGAAGTGCACAACACGCCCGAAGGGAAACCGGAGGGTAACAAAACCAGCTTGATTACACCCCAAAAGGGGACCACTACTCTGCCTGAACAAGATTGGACTCTTGTGGGAAGGAAGAGCGGAAAGGTGACACAGGAGGAAACTCCTACTACCGCTGCTCAAGCTTCCCTAAAGAAGTCCAAGAGGAAGGAGAAGCAGAAGGCAAAGATGCAGCGGCAGAAGCAGCTCAGACGAGAATCCTGAATGACTGCATCAGCCAGCAACCGAATTGTCTCGACCACCAGCACGGTACAGGGAACGCAAAGGGAAGCTGAAGGTGGGAAGCAGGGAAACCTGCCAACACCAAAGCAACCCCAAGTGACACCCACTACCAGCCGGGACAAGGAGCCCCGAACGTATGGGGGAGCAAAAGGCAACATGTTGTCTGAGTAACCCCAAATGGAACAGGTACTGAGTCAGGAAAAGGACCGCCCACTACCAAAAGGGAAGGGGAAAGGCAAGGGAAAGGCGAAGTCTAGCGCCAAGAGGGCACGACTCGATGAGACTGTGTCTCTAGAGGAGAGTCTAAAACGCAAAAACCGAGTCGGTAACCGAACCTAACCCCAGCCCCATCTCAAAATCCTATGCCTCAGTTGCATCTGCAGCGACCTCGTCGGACACCCGAATAGCGACGGCGGAGCTGGTCGAGGATAAGATCGAGGAAGATTGCGCAGACCAAAGTACGCCACGAGTGTGCCAAGGTTGCCTTAGTGTTTAGTGGGAAACCACTCTACATAGATGGGTGCCTTAGGTACACGTGTGGAAATCATCACACCACGGAATGGGTCCAACAACAAATGCGAAGCTTACCTAATCCTGATGGAGTTGAGCTCGTTGTCCTTCGGGCTGACGAGATCCTCAGAAGGGTCAGGTGCGGTTTCGTACTTCCAAAACTGTGGAAGAGCGACCGGTCAGTACTAGGCAACTGCCTAGCGATCGGGAACCCCAGAAATCAACACCGAAAGATGGGTACTAAACGCCATCCACTTACAACCCAATTTCGGTACGACTTTCATAAGTCTCTCGATTCCGGAGGAGGACGTGCCAGAGATCCTGGCCAAGGGGCGCAGACTCTGCTTCATCTCAGGGTCTATGTACCTGAAGTTCAGGGACGCGAAGGGGAAGTACGTCGACACTCCGCCGACGAGTAACCCCGGTGCCGCCCCTCGGAACAAATGGAGACTACACCGGACATAACACCTGCACCGGCCCACCACACGCCACAACCACGTCCACGGCGACTCCGAGCACTGCTGTGCTCGGGACCTTCGCGCGAGGCCTCTTCGCCTGTGAGTGAAGGCTGTGTGCTAGGACTCAGCGAGTTCGAGATCGAGGACGTAGACTGCCAGGAAGATGGCGTCCTGCTGCAGTAGAGCTAACCTACTACAAACCAACCTCCACCACAGTATCACCTCAACGGCTCAGCTCCGGAAATGGTTGAAGGTTAACACAACAGCAATCGCGCTGATCCAGGAGCCGTGGATCAATGGTAGCGAAATACTATGACTCTCCAATTTGGGAGTTAAGCTCATACAAGCCACTGTTAACGACGTGAGAGCCTGTATATACACTTCAAAAGATATCAAAATACAGCCTTTAACAAATTTCTGTTCCAGAGATCTCTGTGCCACAAGGTTGACCATGAAACATGATAACCATAACTGCGATATGATCCTAGCATCTGCGTACATGCACGAAAGAGAACGAGCACCACCGGAGGAGGTCGTCTCCCTGGTCCGCTTCTGCGCGCAGGAGAACGTGGAACTAATCATCGCAACAGACTCTAACGCTCATCACCCCCTGTGGGGGATGGAGAAAAACAACATCAGAGGTAACCACTAACTTACTAATAATAAACAGAGGAAGCGAACCCACCTATGTGAGCAATAACGGAAGCTCAATCATAGACTTGACTCTCGCGACACCAGAGATGGCAAATGCGATATCGGACTGGCATGTATCGAAGGAGGCATCATGCTCTGACCATCGGTGGATTCGTTTCAACTACAGGTACCAATCACAAACCCCGTCCCCAAGAAGACAAACAAAAATCTCTACAGCCGTCTAGTGTCAAATAAACTGTGCATGAGCTACGAAAATGGTAGAATTGACACCACGGACCAAATAGAACAACAGGTAAATATGGTTTCCGAATGCATCCTAGGATGCTATGAAGAAGCCTGCCCTCCCAAACTTCTGAAATCAAATGGGCCGGGTAAACACCATTGGTGGGGTCCTGAACTGGAGAGAATAAGAAGCAAGATGAGGAAGAAGTTTAACCGAACCAAGAACACCCGAAGAGAAACTGACTGGGACGACTACAAAGCTATCAAAGCTAAGTACAAAAAACGAATTAGATACTGGAAAACAGCTTCCTGGCGAAGTTTCATTGCGGAGATAAATTCCACTCAACAGGCAAATCGGGTAAGGAAAATCTTGGCCAAGCAGGGACCGGGCGCTTTAGGGAATCTTCGGAGACCCGACGGCACGATGACTCAGAACCAGAACGAGACCAACCACATCCTATTACAAACCCATTTCCCAAACTGTCAATCAATTAAACAGGTAGTTTGGCGTGACACTACGCCAACACCGACGGAAGGATGCTGGCGCCTGGCCAATGAAATCGTAATGTCTGTGAAGGTGAGATGGGCAATCAATAGTTTCTCACCCTTCAAGGCGGCAGGAAGCGATGACATCTTCCCAGCGCTACTACAATGGGGGGGCGAATACATATTCTCAGCACTCACTCGTATGCTACAGGCGTGTCTAGCTCACCTATACACGCCGCACAGATGGAGGGAGGTAAAGGTAGTATTCATACCCAAACCGGGGAAATCCGACTATACTAACCCCAAATCTTTCATCCCCAAGTCTAATATCTTTCCTACTCAAGACTCTAGAAAGACTATGCGAGAGACATATTCGGAGCGGTGCACTGAGTACTGCTCCGATACATAAACATCAACATGCTTACACAACGGGCAAATCTACAGAATCGGCCCTCCATCAACTAGTCGGTAAGATAGAAATGGCCTTTCACAATAAACTCATTTGTCTGGGCACTTTCATTGACATTGAAGGCGCCTTCGATAGAACTTACTTCACCAGCATTGAGGAGGCTCCTAAAAGCCATGGAGCTAAGCCACAAGTTATAGACTGGATCATAAACATGCTACGCAACAGGATAGTACGGGTAGCAGGTGAGGACAGTACAGGAGCACTGGTCGCGCGGGGATGCCCTCAAGGGGGAGTACTCTCACCGCTACTATGGAACCTGGTGGTCACGACCTGATTACCCGCCTGAACGCTAGTCATTTCTACACCATAGGGTATGCCGATGACATTACAATACTAACTCTAGACACCCACGCTGGTATAACCTGCAACATCATGCAAGCAGCCTTGAAACAAGTCGAACGCTGGTGTGCACAATACGACCTGGCCGTGAACCCAGCAAAAACGGAACTGGTAATGTTTACAACTAAACGCAAAGTAGGCACGTACTGCCTACCGAAGCTATTCGGCACCACACTACAACTGTCCAAGGAGGTAAAGTTCCTAAGTGTAATTCTCGACAGTAAACTAAACTGGAACAGCCACATAAAACAAATCTACATTAGACAGGAAGCGGCAAAGACAGCATTGAGACTATTTAACCACAAACTGGTAAGGTTCGAGACCACCAAACATCTCAATGGCTTACTGAAGGAATGGCTCATCACCCCACTTGTAGAAGCGGCGTGTGACAGAATCGAACCCGCCCTCATTTTCGATAAGAAATACAAGATACATCTTATGGACACTGACAATCCAAAGGTAACTCACAAGGCCCTCACAGTCTTCACGGATGGCTCCAAAACCGCATCAGGAGCAGGAGCCGGAGTATTCTCCGAGGACCACAACATACACCTCTTCCTGCCTCTCAGCACATACAATACAGTCTTTCAGGCTGAGTGTATGGCGATTACCATGGTGGCGAGAGCTATAGCAACAAGGAAGGTAACAGGATCAATAATCCGGATCTACTCGGACAGAAAATCCGTTTTACAAGCTCTCAAAGGCAGCTCTGTCAGATCGAGTCTTCTATATGAGTGTCACCAGGTTCTAAGCATGGTAGGGTCACAGAACACAATTACTATCCAATGGGTAAAAGGACACAGTGGATCACGTGGAAACGATGCAGCTGATGAACTGGCACGCAGGAGATCAGACGCAACACCAATGGGCCCCGAGCCGATAATCCCTATCCCCGTAAGCTGGTTGATTGGTAAGATACGAGACCACTCGGGTAAACTACACCAACAATACTGGCACACCTTGGAGACCTGCAGGCAGGCAAAACTCGCACTACCCCGAGTAAACGCTCGTCTCTCCAAGGCCCTCCTACAGCTAAGTAAACCATTATTGCGTCTGGTAACAGGTGCTATCATTGGTCATGGCAACTTTAACAAGCACCTTTTCAATCTAGGTGTCACTGACAACCCCTTGTGCAGAGGATGCATGAGGGCAGAAGAAACAGCCGCTCACGTCTTGCTGGAATGCAACGGAGTGGCCAATTACTGGGCAAAGCACCTCGGCTCGCCTGGTAACCTCCAGGAGTCCATCGCAAACGTGAAGGTGCTAGGAGCGTTTCTGGCAGAGCTGGGTTGGCTGTAGTAGTATCCGGCCACACACCCTCCATACGCAAAACAGGCGCAATCTTGACGTCGAGTTGCGGAGACGCCCGTTGGAAGAAAAAGAAGAAGACTTTTACTATAATTCTCAAGAGTTAACTTGAAACTTGAGCGCAGTAGGTAATTAGGCCTGCAGTACCCACAAGGGGGCGTAATCGCCCACTTTGAGAAGGGCTGACGTACAGAATATTTGTAACGCATTAACTTGTTATCAACTTTTTAAATAAGAAGAAAACAAAATAATCACATATTTAAATTACGCCAAATTATTCCACACAAACGAGTATTTTTAACTTTTTTATTTTTAATCTAGTCTACGAGTAGTCTAACATGACACTCTATTAGAAAAGACAAAAGGCCTCCGTGCTTCATATCTCGCTCAGCTCGCTTTTCAGCTTTGAGTAGTCGGTCTTGTAGTATCGTAGACCGAGAAGTGTAATATAGTATACTACGTCCATGTTCAATAGATGACAATCCTAAACGAAAAGAGTAAATTGCCATTAAAAAGTAAAAATTTATTTTGGAGGCAGCGTTTGACGGCCATAGACAATATTTTGGCACGAAATTTAAAAAAATGGATAAATAAAAATACAGTTTTCATATAGTGTAGTGTAGATCTAAATTGAGCAAAAAGCTCATCTAAAACATTGAGTTCATATCAGATTAGTTGTCATTTCTATTCATAGTAAATCAATATGATAATGGAATCATATGAGTCCGATGAATCTAATAATTCTTCAATTACAAACATTGAACCGGAGAGGAACACCACACTCGACCAGGCCAGATTAACAGACGGTGACTTAGGTGATTTTCTGGACCCTGAACTAACTTTAGTTTGTAACACTTATAAAAAATCGGAAACATTCAGTACACCGTGGCGCCCAACCACATCTAGAAAAATAGACAAAGAAAGAAAAAATAATGAAGACGATTGCCTTCATTGTAAAAACTCTACTGAACCATACTGCCACGTTGAATTGGTATTTTTCCTTTTTATTTTATTTTTCATTTACATTTTTACACGTGACAGACGTGTGGTTATTTAAAATATTGTTGATTTTTCAGAACTCTATATTGCGACTAAAAGAAAGCACTAAGAAGTTACTAGTTGTGCTGGATGAAATACAATCAAAAACTCATGCGAAAAATGTTAATTTAGATAATACCAAGATCAATTTATGTAAAGTGCCTCCTAGCGTTCCATCAAAAAATGTATGGCTCAATAATTTTTTATTCGTGCTCCATTTGTGCATTTTCTATACTTAAAGACTTTATTTATTTTTTTGTTATTTTTATTGGACCTTAACTACCTGCCTTACAGCCATCTTCTATCACTGATCTTTTTAATGAGGATGCCTTAAGAAATTTGGAACATCAAGCGAAAATTTTAGATTCCATTTATATACAGGTAACTTCTTTTAACCATTATAATAATAATAAAAAAAAACATTAATCCAATCTCAAATAACGAAAGCAACATAAGCGCCCAACCAAACCCGAGATTCTTTCCCCTGGCTAAGAGTCGAAGCAAAAACAGCAAAGACGCCACTAACCAGCAAGTAGTGTCACTAAGACACGGAGGTCGCTCTTACCTCAGCTAAACCTGATGGGTGATATGGTAGCAGTGGTCATGAAAGAAATAGAGATCACAATAAATACGTAGATTAAGTGCTATGATAGTCCCCGTTAATTTCTTGACAACTGGTAAGAGAGAGTCTGGTTTTAGTTCGAACAAATACTAAACAGTTATTTTTATTAATGTAGGTGTCCGTCTGTCTGCCTCTCAGTCAGTCACAAGGCTGTCAGTTGCGCAAACGTCGATTAGGGTTTAATGACGCCTTTAAACTCTAATTAATGTTAAATTTGTATGGGTACGTCGCTTTAAAATAATGTCCATTCAAATGGACGTTTATGGAACTCGCTGATATTGATATTTTCACATATGAATATAGATAACGGTTCGGAACCCCAGATGCGCGAGTCCGACTCGCATATGACCAGTTTTTAATTGTATTCTCCGAACATTAATTTGTAACATGATGATTGTATTTTTTTCATAGGGTGAAGATGACGATTGTTCTGTATACAAGCGATTGACCAGGAAATGTCTCTGTTTAAACAATCACGAATACAACGACTTTATGATACATTTCAATGAAGACACCAAGTACCGTACAAGTATCGCCGGTGAAGTAATAAAAAACATGAGAATACTAAAAAAATTCTTATACATGAATGGAGATTATACGAAGAATGCACTCTCATTTCTAAACGAAGTAAGTCCATTTTCATTGTGCGTAAGTATATTTTTGAGTGCTACGTGGATAAGCTACTACGAAAATATTGGTTATTATTCGGTTGGAGTTAAGGCTAAGACATGTATTTTACTCATTTTACACATTAAATTAGGTTTTTTTTAATTTAAGTTCTATATCATAAATATGATGTTACAAAAACGATTTCAAATAAAAATTCCTACCTAAATACAAGTTCAGATAAGAAACGCTGTTGAATTGATTAACCCTGAACTCAGCCTAGGCCAGACCCGTGGCACTGAAGCTCATTATCCTTCGATTTTAGTTACCGGTTAATTATTACAGGGTCTTACAAAGAGTATACACACAGAGAAGGTCGAAATCGTACAAGGTTGTGCTCATGCTGATATCTGCAATGTTTTTGAAGATCTTTCTATTGTGGTAACGTACATTTCATGGCCATGTAAATACGAACATTATGGAGATGTATTAACTCAGGTATTTCTTTTATATCTTACTTTCTTGAAAATTCAATGGAATAATAATTGAGAATAGCTCTAAAGCTTACAAACCGACTGGGTAGTTATTCGACTTTAGTAGAAGTGTTTATTGACTTATTAAATTAAAGCAAAAGAATGAGTAATAAGTTTACTAGAATCCTCTATTAGTTTATTAAAAGAAAAAACTTTGTATTTCAATGACTAAAAAAATATTGCGTTGCATTTCCATTTTTTTTAAATAAAACAATGTAAAAAGTAAAATGTGTAATAAACATGTAAACAATATTTTGGGCCTTAAAATGGTACAGGCTACTACATCTAGTCTTTTACAATGAGCATTTCAAATTAAGGTTAGGTTCACGTAAACTTGGCATAGGAGTTTGAAAGAAAACGTATGTTTCAGTCATTGACCGCGAGCTTATTATACAAATTGGCACAGATAGAAGAAGGACGACGGTATTTAAATTATAATTCCAAGATAACAAATGACCTTAAGAAGGTTATTAGAAGGAAATCCTCAATGTTAGAAATGGAAACAATAGAATCACTAAATGCGACATTGAACCTATTGAATCCACCATTGACGCAAAACCTAAACATAACATACTACTACAAACCCATTGATGAAGGTAAACCGAAGTTTATTACAAGATGCGATTTAAAGGAATTTTACCCTGAAACCTCACAAACAAATAATGTAAACATTAGTTCACACGTAAAAGCCCATACTAGTAAAAGAGAAAAGATAATACAAACATATACAGATTAAAACAACAGTAATCTAAACATAAGTATTTGAGCTGACTGTAACTATGATTAAGTAGGTAAAAATACTCTGGATTTACTATCTATTTAGTAGTTATTATACTACTCACAAATTAATTATACCACAGCATATTTTTTCAGGAATAGGAAAAAAGACTCTGAATGCCCTCATAGATTATCGTCAATATATGACATTAGATGAAGTTTTTGCTCAATTAGATTTGATGCTTGATCTCAGTAATAGGGATACCGGTAAATTTGAACTTATATCTAACTTACCGCATATACTACTTTTATTCAAACAATTGCTTGTTGAATACGATAATAGTGAAATTAACATAGTTTTAACAAAAATTTTAACGAATATCTTGACAAAGAACATTGGCAAAGAAAAAATGGAGTCAGATGCACCTAAAGCGCTAACAATAGCAGATATTGCAACCGAGGTATAGTTAATTAACGATTTTAATTGTAGTTGTCGAATGTAATGGGAATGTAAATAACGTCCTTGGTTGAATTTTTCAGCCAATAGAAATGAAAAATGTGTATAATCAACACCCACCCCGAAAAGTATACGTAAGAAAAGCGAATAAGTCTAAATTAGGATTGGGTCCGACGCCTAATAAGTTTCGTAATATGGCAAAACAAGGAGGTAATTATTACTTGTTTTTAAATATAACAATTTTATGTATCCTCAAATAACACAAAAAAGAGACAGTAAAATAGATCTCAATATCAAAAATAATTTGCATACTATCGTATAAAATAGTACTTACTCACTCTGGTAGTGAAACCTTTGATCTATTAAAATAATGATTACCAGTCCAGTCCACAAATTTATTAAAGCTTTCTTAAGGTCTTAATACATATGTTTGATTTTTGATCGACGACAAACGCTAGTGTATAATCATATTAACGCTATCCATGTTCCACTAAGGTGTACGCACTGACCGTAGACTAGCAGTAAGTTACGTGACAAGAGTTTCATATGTACGCGAAATTTGCGTCGTAGAATTCTAAGAATTCGGGCAGGGCGAACGGTTCGAAAAATACCGGTTAATATGGGAATAAAAATGCGGGTGGAGCTTCGTACGCGTACCTACTCGTTGAGATCCAAATTTTTTTCAATGACGACCAAATTGTTTATGATGAAAAAATTACGCCAGAGGGAGATAGATGTACAGCACGCGTGGCATGACGAACTCGAGAACGTTTTGTTTCTCGGGTGTGCCCAAACGATATCTCACTACATATCCGCGAAAATGACATTTGGGTATAGACAAAACGTTTCTCGAGTTTGTCATGCTACGCGTACAGATATGACGGAGAAATTAACCGACATTTGTAACAGAAACCGTTTCGTTTTGATCTTCGATCAGAAAGAACCAACATAACTTATTCTGAATAAACGGTGTCACAGTACCAGTATAGCCAGATGCATTGCTTCCTTTTAGATCAAAGATTTCTTTCTATAATTTTTTGTATTTTTTTTTCAGATAAAGCAAGAAAAAATTCGGTTATTGTTGTCCCAATTCAGAAATAGGTCATCAGTTCTATGTAACATATATATTATCAGGATAAAAATGCATGCATATATGTATGTACTTACAACAAATAATATTTATAGTATAAAATAGTAATCGATGAGTTAGATAGGATTTCTTTTTAACTAACTAGCTAGCTATAATACCTATCCACCATCAACATACTTTATAATATTGATAAGATAATGGAATAAGTGATCAATGTAAATGCTTTCTTTTAAAATAGGAATTCAGTCTAATAAATAGATAAAAAAGTAATTAAATATTATAATCCATTTCAATACCTAACAGTATTTTGTTACTGTAAAAGTTTTAATGATTTTTAGAAAAATATTTCTTTAATAAAGTTTTTGAAGCTTCAACATAGTAATTTTGGACCTTCAAATACTGTTTAATTATGTACTGATTAATATTCAGGGACCTAGAATTTCTGTTAAACAATATTTGTTACAATCAAATCAATACATTTAAGAAAGATTGTAAACTACAAAATTGCAGCTCTACAGCAGATGAGCAAACCATGCACAAAACATGAGTAAAAAATTAGTCTAGTTTAAGATAGACAAAACCTGTGGATTGAAAAGACATATATATATATCTATTAAATTTTAGATAAGTTGCTAGATTTTTTAATTTTTTAAACAAGACTGCACTATTGACTTGTTTTCGACTGAAATGGTGTTAACAACCTTTGCTCCCACAGTATTGAAATGAACTACCTACTTATCATAACATGTTGATTTACCAAAATATATATATCAACACTTTCACAGTAACATGTCCACCAATAAAATTCTATTTTATAAACTTTTATAAAATTCTGCTAATATAAAATAATTATTTAATTTTCAGCATAATTAGGTACTTTAGTATAAATGCTAGTATTAGTTCCATCCTCCACCTCGAGATCTTATTATGATGAGAAATTATGTTTGCACTTTAGTTTTTTAATCAAATTGTTTATCATCATAGCTTGTTACTTGTGGGTGCCGCTGGTCATAATATCTAATGTTTCTATTATGTGGAGGTGGATTATTTGGCTTGAAAAACATGGCCAAAAGTATGTAAAACCCTCCAACAATCTTACTAAAAAAATCAAGTAGGCCCAGAAACATAGGTGTGGAATTTTTTACTAGAAATGATATTTCTCTTATCAATGCCAATACAAAATTACCTAGGAAGTTTACAAAAGTTGTAGTTCCAGTAAAAACTGCTATAACTAAGGCAAATATAAATGTTACAAACTCCTTGACATTACGTATAGACAAAGCATCTTTTAAAATGGCTACAATGTCATTGTAAGTATCACCTAATGTTTCTGCACTGCTATCCAGTGTAGCGACGAGAGATTCCTTACTTTTCTTTGGTGCTCCAACAAGTATTGGTTCAATTTCAAGATAAGCTTCAGATATATGACGTACACATTTCACAGATACCATTATTTCATCCGATCTAAACTTCAAACCTTTTATTTGAAACCAGAAAGGTCCAAAAGGTTGATTTTCTATTTCAGTCCAAATACAGAGACCTGACGAGTTTACACCCAATACTTCTGCATCAATAATGCCAATAGATTTTAGATTTGGTGATACATTGCTGAATTTATGTAGAATATCATACAAGTCTTTCTTCAACTCAACTTCAGCCGCACTCAGTAACACAATATCACGATAACCAATTCCTTGATTGATCAATCGTCGCTCAACATATCGACCCAAGAAGATACGTGATTTGATCAAATCACGAGCATAATTTTTCAGTTTCGTTGTTTCCATATCGTCGGTGCTATCGAAATGTGACGAAGCCCCGGAAGAGCTATTAAATGATGGATTCCGGAACGTACTGCTCATGGTGATTTAAATGATGTCTTTTAGTTTTGAATAATACAAACGATACCAATTTTCTATTAAGTAAAATGACATACAAATATTACATATAACTTTGACAATAAAAGTAAACAACAGCAGCCGCACGTCAGATTACGACATCCACGATATGTCAAATAAACGTCAACTCAATCAATTTTAAACTTACCGTGAAATACACATAAAGCATCTAATCGATTTGAATAATTTAACATTTTGCATGAAATGATTTGACGAGGTTTTGTCGTGTATTAAAGGCAAAGAAATCTATATTTTACCATCCAGTGTTAAGTAATGATTTATTACTGTATTTTACTCGTTTACATACCAAATAAAAAGTAAAGACGGAGTTCACTGAATAACAAAGTGAAGCCGATTTTTAGCAATTGTAGTGTGCGTGCCAGTGTGACCATAGTCATTAAAAACACCCCAATAACTTAACGTTACGACGTTATAGAGTTAACGTTAACGCTATGCTATTTAATAATATAATGTAAATTCGTTTGTCAATATCAGCATAGATATTCTAAAATCTTTAAGAGTAGGTAATTATTATTGGAGGCCATACATTAGAGAGACTATTTAATTAATTTTTAAGTTAAGTTTGAAAACTTCCACTATGTTAACTAAAATTTTAATATATAGAAAGTTTGAAACCTTTGGATATAAGTTTTGCTTTATTCGACGTAACCCTTTTATAGTATAATACATATCATCGCTCTTAAAATGAGTCGAACAAACTACGCTTCGCGAAGTTGGATTCCATGAAGGTTCATTTCGACTATTACGAATGACTGAAATCCACTTCTCTTTCACATTTTGATGTCGGTTTGGAAATGAAAAAATGTATGCAAACCCGTTTAGTAAAAATAAAGAAGTAAAAAATTAAACCCGTTTTTTATTTTTTACTTCCTTATTCTAACACTTCAATATCTGTGATCTGGACCTCTATGTAGCATTTTGAATGCAAAATGTTATTATAATATCATTTCCATACAACAAGAAAAAAATACATAACGTAATTTGTGTTTTGTTAGAAATAACGCGTTATAAAATTAAAGTTACCTGATTTCGGGGTAAATAATAACGTTTAACGATGGTAATATTTGGCTGAGGTTTTGTGTTCCAAGCAATTACTTAAATTTAATTTTTAAATTACTGAAAATGTAAGTTTTCTTCAATACTTATGTGTGAAATGTGATTCCATCCTGCTTTTTATTTTTTGAGGATTGGTTTTTACAACCTTTTACTACACAATTCGGCAGTTAGTAAGAAATTTTTGTTTTTTTTTATAATGAAACGTTCCGCACACTGTCTTTAGTTAGACTGATAAGGAAGGCGTAGTTTCGTTATGTATGTGTGCGTGAAACTGTGTACGAATACGCCGAGGCGTAGTTTTGTCGGCTTCATCTTTTCTGTTAGGCAAAACTCCGTCTATACTTTTTATTTGGTCAGTTGAGTATCTTGGTGACTCATTCAAGGTTTCCCAGCGGCCTTAACTTCTATGGAACATTGATAGAAAATGCGAATAATAGATGTCTGCAGACATTCGGAGATCCAGTCATACCCCCTCTTTTTTTTCAGTGATTATGACATTGTCAGTTGAGTCGGTAATTCGAAATATTGTGTATGTACAGTAAACAGCAAGTCAGGTAACACAAAACTATCAAATTTCCCTACTCCATTTTAAATATAATTACATTGAAGATAGAGATTAAAATTAATTGCGGGAACTTGACATCGTGGTAACATGACGTGCAGCTGTGAGTACTATATGCGCGTAATGATGACACGGACGGCTTGAATCATAGATAATACATAAATATCAACTCGAACTCTCATACTATAAACTAAGGGATCTCCATAATGTTTTGTGTGTGGAACATGCCCAAGTTAAACTTTGAGGTGGTGTAGATTTGAATTTAGTTGCTTTATTTGCTAAAAAAAATAACGTTCTTATAAATACCTAAATAAATTTCAGGATTGTCTACTCCACTTGGCATCCATTTATATATCAATAGTTTTGTCGGCGGGGCCAGCAATCACACCAAATTGAGCTTCAAATTCGTTCAATATACTTATCTAACACTAGTGGCTGCCAGCGACTTCGTCCCCGTTTTCCATTATTAACTGCAGCGTGATGTTATATACCCTAAAGCCTTCCTCGATAAATGGTCTATTCAACACAAAAAGATTTTTTTCAATTCGAGCCAGTAGTTCCTGAGATTAGCGCAAACAAACTCTTCAGCTTTATAATATTAGTATAGATTAAATGAATTTGAATTTGGCTATGAATTTTCACATTTATGTTTTTAGTGGGAGACTATACATTTACTCTTTGGCCACTAAAAAGACTTTAATTCATAATTAAATTTGAAAGGACTGCAAAATCAGGGTTTTTAAATTAAAACTTTGGTAAATTTGTACAATTTATTCATTATGGAATTAGGTACATAACAATTGAGAAACATAACTTTTTAAGAGGTGGCCCTAAAAAAGACAGAGTATTTATTTATATTTATTATTATTAAAACTAAAAGGTTTCTGATCGCTCTGCATGATAACAATGACAATAGTATGGCCTAGTTAAAATAATAGTTTAATAACATCACGTCAGCTTATATACATCTGTCAATTTTTTTTCACTTGATTTTAAACCTTAATGTTTTAAGAATAAAGTTTAAAATCAATTGGGCAAATTTGACATATTGTGGAAACCTGACATGCAGTCGTATGTACATAATGAGTTATCAACACCAGTACGACAACAGTAAGTATACTCCATATATGTTTATTGAAAAATAATCTTATAGATAGTACAAGTGACTTTAGATAAATTATTATCTTAAAATCAATTAGACTAATTAATAATTGTATAATAAGAATTAAATCAACGATTTTATAGCCTCTGCACGATATTTGTTTGTAGACAGCACGACAGGTTACAGCAAAAGTTCTTTCAGAATGATTTGTAGCATATTTAAATTTAATCTGTTGTCTTGTCAAAATTCGTATTAGAACTTTAATAAACTAGTGAATTAACTTTATAATAAAATGAAGACATTTGACAATTTTGTATAACCTGACGTACTGTTACTGTACAATACAGTCCACGAATTTTGTATCACACACTTGCGCAAATGTCCATTAAAATTGTCATTAGTTTAAAGGGACATTATTATTACGAATTTTTCATTTTAGTGTGTGCAACCGCCCGTAATTGATTATTGCTTGTCCTCGATCCTTATAATAAAAAAAACTAACACTTTTTTGTATATTTACAAAATTTTATATGCATAGTGGAAGAGCGTAAAGTTCATCAACTGTATACACGAAAGTTACCTTTTATGTTATCTATTAAAAATAAAAAATAATAATACAATACAAATCTACAAAGTATAATTAATACCTATTCAATTGAACAGCATTAAAATAATCTTTGAATTCATATTATTTTCAATAAGAAATCTTTTAAGCTGATACATTTGGGTAGGTACATTATTTATACTATTATATCTGTTTCTGTGTGTCGCTCGGTTTGCGAAAGATCATGGATTCCCATCTCAAAAGGGCCAGGGACAAAGCGGATTTTGTAAGCATTCTTCATTAAGAATATGTTTCGGTCTGGCTAAAATAGTCCATTATTTACAGTAACTATCATAGAACCCCTTTACACTTAGATTATCATCAAAATACTCTCTTTTGGATTCAAATTTAAATTAAAATTCTGAAGCCGCCAAGTCCAGCACATCAGACTATTAAAAACTCAAGCTGTTTAATTTCAAACCTTTATGCTTTCAAAGTATAATTGAAAATCGAATGCAAACGTTAACCTGTCATACTGCATATTATGTACGTTCATAAGTAGTGTTTGTACATTTGCAGTCTTAAAAATAGACTTGCCTATTAGGTCAGTAAGGGGCCATCCATAAATTATGTCACACGTTAGGAGGGGTGGGGGGGGGATCAACGAACTGTGACATTAGAACAATATTTAATAGAATTTGTATAGACAAACATGTGACACGAGGGGGGAGGGGGTTTAAAAAATCATGAATTTTGTGTGACGTAATTTATGGATAGCCCCTAAACCTGTCTTCAATATATAAAAAAAATATATAAATACCCTACCAACAACTTTTTGACGTTACCTATTGACTAGTATATGAAAATAGGTTGATTTAATTAATTAAAAAACAATACGAATTCTCTATCAACAGTTCTAAACTATACTGAATAAAGAGATTAAAGTAAGAATAATCAGTCAATGTACTGTATATATTAAAATATATAGTAGTATCTCTATCATATAGGCACCGACAGCTTCTATATTTAACAAAATTCAATACGGCATCAGAGTTAAATATTTTTTCTACAATACAGCGTGTGCTTTTGAATTAAGAGCAAATCTTACAGCAGAGACATTATAAATACTCTAGGTTATTATAAAATAAACAGACAAAGGACAGTACATATACATTAATAACAATGAGCAATATAAATAAGACATCTGTTTATAGACTTTAAACGTTTTGCATTTACAGATTATAATCTAAACCGCCATTCAATGATAATTATCATTGAATGGCGGGACGGAAATGTATAAAGGTCGGTGCACATTTGACGGAAGATGCGTTATGTCTCGTCGGTGACGTTACGTCAAAAAGAACTAACAAATTATATGATATGACATTCGACCTTACACAGTGCATAATTCCGTGAGACACGTGATGTTTCACCCGCCAAATTTGCACTGTCCTTAAATCCAAAAATCGTTTCCTGAAACCATACGGCGGACACAACGGCCCCGTCCAAATCATTATGTAGCAAGTGAGGTCAAAATACAGTAGTACCAAATTATTTCATTAGCATCACGTATTGTTTTTATTGCACATTAATACTACATATTTTTAAAATAAAGCTATAAGTATATCGTAATCATGTAACTGGTTGACTTTATTTGAGTGTTATCATAACTATTACATGTAATTATTTAGCAGCCTATTCCTACTGGGGAGTATGGAAGAAATAAGGACATGTATACATGTATAGTTAAGAAATCTTTATCTATTACAAATAGACAAACATTGTTTTAAACAATAAATGTTGTATTGTATATACATAAGTAAGGTACATATAAACATTACAATAAAACTACTGTCGATTTTATTGTTCTACCAAGCGCAAGTGATATTACTAAGAGTTATAATCCAATATTACAAAAATGAGATTTCTATTCTTAGCAAAAATTCGAAAATAGTAAAAGATATGCATATGCACGGCTTAATTTTTTTTTTATTATTTTAAACTTTAACGCTATAGTAATAAGACGGAGTAAAACCTGCAATATATATATAATATATTGAAAGTGCTTCACACTTTTCTTAAAGTATGTAAACTCAATGAGTTTACAGATACTTAGCATAGCAGAAATCACAATTTCTTCTAACTAGCCGTATAAGTACAGTGTGTACTTATATACTAAGCCGTTTAATTTTCTAATCATACCTACTTATGTAATACCACAGTATATGTTCAATTCTCCATTTTACGCTACCACAACCAGTTTAATAGATTTAAATTTATTCACATAATCGTTATGTGCATTAGGGGCTCCGTCGCTCTGTTATTTTCGCAGTATAACTTATAAAAGTATATTGTTTTAGCGATATATCGACTCGTAGGTACATGTTTGTACACTTAAAATGGTTTTATAATGGCATGAGATACTGGCAGTGTACAATAATAGGACGTATTACAGCAAAATTTCTGTCGTCAGATTGCAGCACAAGAAAATAGTTCTTTTGAAGTTAAAAGCCATTCACAGAGTAGTGACCAAAGAGTAAATTGAGAGCATAGTAGGAATTCAATATTTCTGAATTTATAATTAGAAAGAGCATAATTTTGTCCAATAATATATCATTGCTGCATATTTATAAAGAACAAAGAATTCTTTCACGACAGCTATTGAGTTCCAGACTTTTATTTGTGGCAAACTCGAGAAGTCTATGAATTTATAGTTCCAGAATTTTCACATTTTAAAACAAAATAAATTGCTCTTGTATTATATTAATATGCATTATTTATTAGTGTGTATGTTGCGCACGCAACATTAACTCATCTCGCTGGTATAAAACCACATTTACATTCAAGAGAAAGCAATAGAGCGACGGATATATAGAGATTGTCTTTACACCCTTAAATAGCAAGAGAAAACTCGAGAGGAAAAAGAATTGTAACTATAGACAAGATACACAATTTACTACAACTGCAATAAATGCTATTTCAAAAGAATCCATTCGAAGTTTTAAAGCACCCTGTTATTTAGGCCATAAATATGACTACACTACAATTATAATCCGATTAAAGTCACGATTTCATTCGATTTGACCGTCAAAAAATAACGACAATATCATACCTAACGTTCATATTCGTTTATAATGATATAGTTATAGTTCAATTCGCGAAACAGAGAATTATTAAAGATTATGAACATTCTCATTGATTAATTTAAAAAAAACATCATTATTGTTTCTATTCACTGCCAGAGCCAATGAACCCGTGACTTCCCGCCTTGATTTATCAATGTTTCTAAACTGATGGCACTTACGTTTTTAAGTCGTTCTTTAATAGACAATCGATCATTAAATTCTTACGTTTAAGCAAATAATTCCATTAAGTCTTCATCAAAACATTAGGTTCATCATATTTTCTTAATCTTTTTATCTTTAAGCTTACGAAATTTCGAAAGATACACTTATTTCATTAGCGTCAATAAAGAAATCGCAAAAATTACTACATAATTTACATATTTATATTACATGCCGATCACCATAACGGCAAAGCTAGTTAGGATATATTCATTGCAATGAAAGTCTCAATACTCATTTGAAAAATTTCAATATCTAGCTAACTAAGCGAACCTCTTGACTGCCTTTTAAATCCAACTGAAAAGTCTGTACACATCCAACATAAACATCAAATAAAATATTACAGTCAGTCATTTACATAATTAAATCTATTTCACGATTAAGAAACCGTGAACGCTCGCGAGGAACTTATCGAAATTGTCCTGGAAACGTATCTTATGAGGCCTCATGCCGTCAAACAGTACACCATTCGTCAAAACACCAAACGCCTCTTCCAATCTGGGTACGTTAGTGGGGTCATTGACCGCAAACGCTTCGATCAGCTGTCTCGCTAGACCTTCCAATAAGGCCGGTTTCACACAAGTGAGTGCGTATATTGCGGCTCCAGCGGCCGGTATAGAATCCGGCGGTATTTCCATTTTTATAATGAGCATTAGTAAAAGCTCTGCAAGTGTTAACAGTGACATGGCGTATGGATTGTCGTCGCCTAGTGTACGAGCTTTATTCGATAGTCCTACTATTGTATCGCAGCATAGAGTTGATACGTCGTAAGATACGGCAGTGAGACCTACACGTAGAGCTGTCACTACCATGTTGAAATCGTCTATTGGTAGATTTGTTAGCTGAAAATAATGACAACATTCGTTTATTCCACTGAGCTTAGCTGAAAGTGGTTTCAAATCAGACACTGATTTCAACAATTCCTAATAGGTATTTTTCTTGCAAAATTTAATTGAAATCTAGTTAATAAACTTAAGTGAATGTAATGAGGCTCTTTATAATGTGTTATATTCTTGACTTGTAATAAAATACAACGGAAGAAAAAACAACAAAGAAAAATGAGCTTTCCTTCATTGTAAAAGAGTTAAATAATATACCACAAATAAACATGACATACATGACAGTGGCATTGGATGATGACGATGATGAGAAAATGGTTTTTACACTTTTTAAATCGAACGAAAGTATTAATTTGTCTCCAATAAGTAGCAAAAAATTTAGAGACGGCACGTGCCCTACGACTGGGTAGCAGAAATCACTATCAAGTTTCTGCCCCGGTTTGTAAAAATATTAATGTAGATTAGTTACTTGACAGTTATAACAATAAATTAATAAATATATTGGAAACGGTAACTTCTATGTAAACAATAAATATTTAATATTTTTATTTTAACATAAATTGTAAGTATAGTTTATTTTCACAAAATTAAATTGTAGTACTCATGTTTATTGAAATGTGATGTCACGGCTCAAAATGCCAAGTGACTGATTTCTTTCGCATAAAAATTAAAATAAATCGATAAAAAATATACTTTTCCTTTATTTAATAACACTTATGAGAGAAAATAGATCTGATAGTTATTTTAAAAATGAAAGTTTCATTACTTTTCCCACAACAGTCAAGTAACCAATTGCTCAGTATAAGATATATATCTATAGTCAATATAACTCACCTGATCGGCCGCGTCTAAATCTCTCAGCATCCTATAAGCGTGATGTGCTAGGGTTGGCAATGCCAACAGAGGCGGCGTTATAAGCGGCAGGAGAAGTCGTAATCCCCTCGTACAGGTATCGCCTATGCCACGATCAGCACCACTTCTCGCTATACAGCATATCACTTCCATTAATGCGCATATGTCCTGGAATCATTTATTTATTGAAGACTAGATGAACATATATTCGTATCAACTCCACAGTTGAAATCATCCCTGGACTACGACCACAGATAACCTCCAATAGATACCGCATGATGACTTTTTTGATAAAAAAAAATAAAGCCAATCATAGCGTGGGGTAGGTTGCAGGCGAGGTGACTGCGAAGACGCTATTGGCTAGTACAAAAAGATCAGTAGTGATAAAAGGAAAGCGAATCTTGAATGAATGAAAATGATACGATACAAGGCGTCGTTGGGGAATCCCCGGCAAACGCTTCATCGCCGTCAGTGTTACTACATTTGACGGTTTGACGGACTACAATCAAATAAAATCGAACTTTTGTATGGACCAGTACAAAAAATTTATTGACATACGATTACTTACTCCTGATACAATAACTTTTTAACCATTCTCGAAAAAAAATCTTGACTCGAAGTTCACAATCGCGAATCACAAAAACGCATATCGATAAATAATAATATGCAGATATTGATTTCCAACAAATTGATGAAAACATTAATAACACTGTCAACCCACACAAATAATTTACGGGAATTCCCTTTTTACCCGACTGCGCGACGCAAAGGAGGGTACCTAATTATAACTTTGGAATTACTCACAACTGAGTTTCCATGATTAAACTCGAGTTGTCACCTGTCATTTTTATTTTGAAGATGGGAGAAATTTTCAAAAGTTGAGTTCGATTGAGATTTTCTGGTAAAGATTCGAGGGCCCCCTGAGCTTGAGGGCCCCGGGGCACTGCCCCGCCTAGCCCCTTAGTAGCTACGCCACCAACTATGCACTTACTTCGTACGCCTCTTCTTCTGCATCTTGTGGAATACTTGATATCTTTCTAGAATTCCATTTCATGTAAACTTCGAAGGTAGTGTTACACACTTCTAAAAATCTAAAACAGACAACCTGTAAGTTCTTCAACAAAAATGGCAAATGGACAATTAAGTGTTACAGATGACACTATGTAATTGATAGCATACAACTAAATTGAAGCAATGTACGCGGACCCAGTGCGGATTGGTGGACGTTAACGACTACAAATGCAACCGGAAACAACGGCTTAACTTGCTTCCGAAGCACGGAGGAACTTTATACTATACATTTTTGGTCACCCATCCTATGACCAGCCATTGCGAAAGTTGTGTCATCTCCGCACCGCAAACCTGAACGCTCTAATGTGGTATCAAACTTCTCATTAAATTGTTATGGGAATAATAAAAAAAGTCTTCAATAAATTGGCATACAATATAATTTTTTAATTATAATAAATTATATGCCAATTTAAGTTTATAATCTTATATAAATTACCAATATGATAGAATCCTATAAAGTTTAATGAAAAAGATCTAAAATCAATTTTTTTAAATCTTTAGCCCATTTTTAGGGTTCCGTACCCAAAGCATAAAACGGGAACCCTATTACTAAAATTTCGCTGTCTGTAACCAGGCTCTATCTCATTAATCTTTAAAAGTTAGACAGTTTTCGCAGATTATGTATTTCTGTTGCCGTTATGACAAGAAATACTGAAAATCAGAATAAAATAAATATTTAATAATAATAATATACATTATTGCACTCACAAGACGAGTACCAAATTACACAGCTTGAGAAAAAAACAAATGGAAAGTGAGCTCCCATACAACAAACCCGATTTTTTTTGCTCGTTTTCGATACAGAACCCTTCGTTTGCGAATCCGACTCGCCATTGGCCGGTTTTTATTACAATAGTATATTAATTTCACTCACTTATTAACGTTCTGGGGCTGTACCGAGTGCAGCATACGTTTGGCGCTTTTGGCAAGTAAGTTCAACGACGGCAAAACGACAGCGGGGTAATTGTGATATCTAAATATAATACCAGGTATCTTATCTAAGGCACCAATTAAGATCATAAACTGTTCATCCATTGTTCCCATCTGAAAATACAAATGAACATCTTAAGAATGCTATTGTATAATAGTATTGTAATTAAAAATGGTTTTTTTTTATTAGTAATAATTATTATATTTGATCAATACGCCTTCCTTCATGTTCTAGAAAAAGATGGCGACAGAAAAATACCGTGCTGCCAGATATCCAATCCAACCTATTCTATAATAGTTTGGTATTGTACTATTCTGCTGGATATACGTGTTTAATTCTTAGATATTGTATCTATCTTTCTGTTGGTGGAGTTCTTCTGCTTTTTTTAAAGTCTTGAAGTCGTCATTAAACCATTAATTAATTGGGTCTAAAACTCTGGTTAATTATTACTTAAAAATATTCTTAATGAAAAATGCTTAATAAATCCACTTTGTCCCTGGCACTCTGAAGTGGGATCCGAACCCATGACCTTTCGCAATCAGGGCGACTAGGTATGTATATCCAGCAGAATGGTAATTAAATGTATAATTTTACAAATGGTACAAACTATTATAGATATAGGTTGGATATCTGGTAGCACGGTATTTTTCTGTCGCCATCTTTTTCTAGAACATGAAAGAAGGCGTATTGACTAGCGTCTCGAAGATTCTAATGATAACTTTGTCACTAAAGTAAATCACGGTTTCGAGTAACAGAAAAGAGGAAAGGAGATGGAAGAAGGCGATATCATGCTTCAACCCTAAAATGCCTGGATATTGATAATTATGTCATCACATCATCATTCAGAACCAGCCTTTTAATGTCCCCACTTCTGGGGCCCAGGCCTTTCCTAGTGCAGCCGGAACCAAGTTTAATTTGCCTTCCGGAGCACGGAGGAGTTTCGAGTTTTTGGAATAATTTTTTTGGTCACCCATCCTTTGAATGATCATTGCGGAAGTTGCTTAACAACCGTATCGCAAATCGAGCGCAATAGCCCTATTGTCATCGAGCTCCTAATTATGTGTCACTAAAGTATTATAGCCCGAACGTAGATAAGCGCCGCGGCCCGTTGTTGTTAAGCAACTTTCGCAAGGGTCGGTCACGGGATGGGGGACCAAAATAAACTATTATCTCGAGCTACTCCGTGCTTGGGAAGGCACGTTAAGCCGTTGGCCCGGCTGCATTTGCAGTCGGTAATACCCTCCAAACCGCATTGGGCCAGCGTAGAGGGATATGGCCCATCCTCCATAACCATCCATAAGGCCTGAGCCCTGCAGTGGGGACGTAAAAGGACTGATGATTATAGTATTATAATATATATGGTATCATTTTAGTTGAAATCTTATGATTAAAGCTAAGTTTACCTCAAATACACCATCAGTGACCCCAATGAAACAATCTAAAGTATCAGCGAGCATATTTCTCACTGGTTCAGTATCAGATTCCATATTAATAATATTTATTAGTTTCTCCTGTAGCGCCACCGTGCTAGCTAAAAGTCGATTCCTTACTTCGCCTAAAAATATAATGATTGCTTCACTTAGAAAAAAAATCAAAAGCACGTTTTAAAACACAGGCCACACTAGTAGCTGATCGAAGGAAGCTTAGTTTTAACCATGTGATGCTAGCAGTATGTTTGTGTGACCTGCGCTTTAGAAATCCCTACTAATCTATATATATACTTTTATTATATTTGTTTGTTTGCATCGAATAGGTTGCAGAATTCCTAGAATGAGTTTAAAAATTCTTTCACCGGTTAGAAGATACATCATAATGTAGACATAGTCAATAGTTTCTCACGAAAAACAGCAAATAATGGAATGAAAATAGGAGTGGGAATTTGTATAGGAAACTAAAAAGTTACCATAGTAACCATTGTTTACTATTCAATTTTTCATTGAAATTATATCGGTGCCATTATATAAAACCTTATCCAAATGAATTGTTATATTAAATTCTAAGCCTAGAATAACATACATATGGGCTACTTTTTAGCTCACTGTTTTTGAAGTAGAGCTAGTATATCTTTATCCCGATTGCTAAAGACGCCCCTGTGCGTTTAATAAACAATTTAAAAATACTTAGAAAAAAACTTTTCTTACAATGTCAATGAACAATGTAAGTATTATAAATTTTACTGTATAAAAATATAATGTCTGATTAAACAAAAGAATAGGACAGATAATTCTTTATTTGTTAACTTTACACAATTTAGACAAACTAATTTAATATATAAAATTCTCATCACAGTTTTAGTCACCATACTCCTCCGTAACGGCTTGACCTATTGTGATGAAACTTTATATTAACTCTAAGTGATAAGGGTGGTCCACCTCATATTTATATGGCAAAACAAAGTTTGCCGGGTCAAAATTAGTTAAAATAGAAATTACATTAAAAAATTATATTAAATTTCCATAAGTGTAACCTACCTTCAGCATATGTAGCGGCTACAGCAAATGCTCTATGAAGCTCTTTTCTATGTTCGCCAGGTAAGTCGCTACCTGATGCTTCCCACGCGAGTAAATTCAGAAATTCTTCACAACTCGCCAATGGATTTTGTCTATAACAGGTACGTGTTTCGTTATATGAGAAAGCTACGTTATTACACTTCGTGTTAGTTATATGATAAAGCTACGTTATTCCAATATGGGTGTTTTTTTAACAGAAATTATAGCTACAAACTTTTTTCCAAAAAAGCTGGCGAAGATAAGTTTTATTTTTACAATTTCAATATTTATTATTATTATATTTGCATATTTGCAATTTTAATATTTATTAGTATTATATATGAATATGCATATATTTTACGCCGCATCAAAACGTCAAACTACCCACAAAACTCCACCCAACGAAAGCCCAAACACCTCTAAAGTAAAAGACTTACTTGTGCCTCGAATGTGCGAGGGTAGTGAGCAATTGCAATGCCTGTGTTGCAGCAGCGGGCTGACCAGACATATAACTTAAACATGTGGCTTTTTGCCAAGGTAAATCGTAAAACTACCCACAAAACTCCACCCAATTAAAGCCCAAACACCTCTAAAGTAAAAGACTTACTTGCGCCTAGAATGTGCGAGTGTAGTGAGTAATTGTGAAAGCTTTGTCGCAGCAGCGGGTTGACCGGGAATAAATCTTAAACACGTGGCTTTTTGCCAAGTTAAAATGTGAAACTACCCACAAAACTCCACCCAAAATAAGCCCAAACACCTCTTAAGTAAAGGACTTACTTGCGCTTAGAATGTGCGAGGGTAGTGAGCAATTGTAAAGCCTGTGTCGCAGCAGCGGGCTGACCGTGCATATATCTCAAACACGTGCCCACCCGCCCCGCTAGACGTGAAACTACCCACAAAACACCACGCGACGAACGTCCGAACGCCGTCTCTAAGATCGGCGACATCTGTCAAAGACAATCTTACCTATTACCTAGAGGCTGTAGTCAATCATGATCACAATATTTGAATTATTAAATATACGACCGGTTTCTGAATTGAGAAAAGTACAAAATCTCAACTGATTACAAAAAAATATAATCAGAAACAAAAAAATAGTTTAAATACGGTTTGAGACGTGCTTAACTTTAAATTCTCAATTCAGAAACCGGGTGATAATGTAGCAATTTAAATAATGGTATTATATATTAGTAATATAAGTTGACTACACAATGTACAGATAAATATATCAATACTAGCTGTTGTCCTGCGACTTCGCACTCGTTAATTATAGCATACGATAACCCCGTATGATATAGCTACTTGTAGGTAAAAGAATTTTTAGAATCGGTCCTGTAGTTTCGGAGCCTATTCGATGCAAACAAACAATTAAATGTTTCTTTATAATATGAGTATAGATTATTTATCCAATTTAGAACGCCTGAAAAGCTATCTGTATGTTATGGTGCAAGACCACATAACAAATTCATCATACGGCTATTTTCAAGCATATCTTGCTTGCGTTCGCGCGACGTTATGAGATTCGATTAGAATTACTCTACAGAGTTTCGTTACGACAAAATCTCGTTGCTTGTTCGTAAAATCGTAGTTAAGTAAAACAACGCCTAGGATTGGTTTATTTCTTATCCGGACTAGGTCTTTCCAAATATAAACTAATTCTTTTAGTATATCACACTAATTCATACTTACTATTTTATTTTTAAATGAATAACACTATTTGGTAATAAAATAAAAATACTACAACTTTACAATAGCAGATGCCCCCTAGTCTAGTCAAATTTTCAATAAATCTTAATTTACAGAATGAAATAGGTTAACTTACTTCGGAATAAACGGGTGCCTGCGGCATCAGATAAGAGTGGGCCCATATTTTTAACAACCAAGATATGGTAGCGGATAACTCTGGACTAAATACAGATGCGAGTCCCGCTTCTAAAGCTGCACATTCCCAAGCACTGATGCGAAGAATTTCTCCGATGAATCTAAAGAAATAACGTTGTTCAATATTAAATCAGAATCTTTATATATTCTCTAAGGAATTAACATAAATCTTAAAAATATTGGTTAATGTTTATAACATATCAATAGGTGAGACCTACATTGTAAGGAACTGAATAGATAATTTATGAGATTGAATTGTATTCATATGAAAATAATGGAAGGTAGGATCAAAAAACCAGATAATATTATTATGATTCAGATTATAGAATGCTGCTATGTATTTTTCCAGAAAACACTATTCAACATTACGGAAAATCATGTTTACTGTTTATTTTGTTTCATCATGTTCTTCTTCTTCACATATTTAAGGGAGTATAGATGTGGTTTTAATTTCAAACCTATATCAAATTCCCGAAATTAAGCATCTTAGCAGACAGACAACAGAGTGATCCTACAAAGATACTTACTGTTTTACCCTAAAAAGGAATGTCTGTCTAAATTCTGCCCTTACAATATGATATAAATTAGTTTGTAATTAATTTTTCTGTACATTTTTATATTACAATGTAAGACTACATATCAAAGGGAGTGAAACATCTTCGAATACATGTATAAGTTTAATTTAAACAGAAATATTGATGATAACTTACTTTAGGATCGGGTCCACATTCTCTGTATTCTGACTCTCGCCCACAAGATATCTTAAAGATGCATCGATATTTGCATTCTCACGTATACTAAAGCTAATAATCTCTGGTGGTATCATGGTTGTTTCACTTTCGGTGTAATCAATTTCTACAGCTAAGAAATGACCAGTTATCATTAGGATCCAGTGCAAATCTTCAAATAAGTTGACTAGTTCTTCTCCACTGCTTACTGGCAACTTTCCAATGTGCATGAGATGTAATTGATTCTCGAGCCTATAAACAATGGTATTAATAATACATTAACGAATCTTCTAATAATGTTATGTTTTTCCACATATATTTTTTTTAAATACAATTTTTAAATTATTGCAATAATTGTATCACATTGATTTCTAAGGAATAAGAAATCATTTGACATCTATTCTAATATTATAAATTTATTTGTTTATTTGTAATGAATAGGCTCTGATAGAAGCTAAACCATATGCAGTGGACATATACTATATTTTATCTCGAAAAACCGCAAATAAAGCGATGAAAATGGAAGAGGAAGTTTATATAGGGAATTAAAATGTTACCATAGTAACCATTACCTTAGAAAACCCATTCAATTTGTCATTGTAGTTATTTACTTGTCATATATGATCAATTATAGTTATTTGATCTGTTTACATGGGAGTAAATAGTCTTACTAATATTTATCCCACTAAACAATAGGGATGATGACTAATTTTTGTTTGTTTGTCCGTCAGGTAGAGGGTTAAAAAATATTAAACACGTATTTTTTTATTTTTTTCGTAATCATAAAATTACGGCGTTACATTGAGTTGAAATTTCGCATGACGTCACGTTAGAGTACGTTTTCTACTCAACTGTGACGTAGCGAGTCCCCACTCCTCAACTTTAATGCCTGTTATCTAAGCTATTTCTTGTTAAATTGAAGTAAAAAAAAATATGTATCCAATATTTTTCTATTATCTGACTGACGGACTAAATAGAATTGCATTTTTTTTACCCAGTCTACATCCCTATTCCCTAGTGACCACTCAGGCGAATCCTCTGAGTAAACAGGGTTCCGAGTGACAATTATCATTGATAATTATTAAACACTACACAAACTCTTTTACGATTTGTTATTAAAGGGTAGTCATTTTAAACAACTATCGAATATGGTTTTTATGGTTTGTCTAGGATGAAACTACAAAAAGTAAAAAAAAAATTAAAGCCCTATTGTTATAAAAATATTTTTTATTTATGTTTTCATTTCACTTTCTTTTTGGATCTATTTTCATATGTAATTGTGTTTAATATTTTCTAATTTAACAACTAATATTTTCTAATTTAGCCACTTACTACTGATAATTATCAGATATTTATCGAATAATTATCAAGTAATTATCATGATGATTATTCAAAAAAAATCTTGTTAACTTTAAAACCTAATATTAAATACTTCTCCTGGACATATATTGTAAAATAAAAAGCAAAAATATTTAGTTAAAAGAATTTGTCCGCACACTTACCTCTTACTTCTATCTTGAAGAAGGCTAAACAAAACATGGCAGCAATGAGCAGGAGCTTTCCTTGCGATTGCCCCAATCGTCATAAGTACATTACTATGCTGTTTCCGTTCATCCTCTTCTATATCATCTTTGATATCTTCTTCTATGCCCCAAGATCCTCTGAGAAATATGAATGTATATTTAATTCAAGGTACAAAAACAATTGGTTACACTTTTATTTTACTCTTTACCCTATTAAAAGTGTGAATGCTAATTTAGCATAGTCACAAAAATAGTAAATCAAACTACAAAAGTATGTCATATGAGATTTGGCATTTGTAGCAGTTCATTTTATTACCTTGTTCCATCAGGAGGTGCAAGCCGGCATTGAAGATAAGTGTTGAATATTTCTATGCAGGGACTCATTAAAGTCTCATCTGAATAACCATCGGTATCATGGACAATAGAACACCATGTGTGTAAGAACTTATTCAAAGACTCCTTCCATACCGTGTTATCATTTTGCTAATCAACCAGAAAAGAAAAACAATATTTTACTCAAAATCCATAAAAAATCATGTTGATAATATAAAGAGGCAAACAATAAGAGATATAGTGTAGTAATTGGTATGAGCGAAATCTGATGATGTCATTGAATTTCAAACAATTACTAGGGAATTAAGATGGCTACATTAGCTTACCACTTCTTCTGCAACAGCACCCCTAATACATTGACAGGTCAAAGTAGTTAGAGTCTGAAGAAATGATGGAGGTGTAGCAGCTATCAGTTGTGGTGAGAAGAATTGTATCAATCTTCTGTATATATCAGATATGCCAAGCATTTCTCCTGGCATAGGCTGAATGTATGCTATCATATTTAAGAAGCCATTCACATAGTTTTCTAAATACTGCTGTTTTAAGTTGGCCACTGATACTACAACACCACTCAAGCTTGCTAATTGAACTAAGCATGTCAATGATGGATTTGCTAGTTCTGGATTTGATCTAACATACATGTGTATCTCAAAGAATAATGTTAAAAGTTCCGGCTGCATTATAGTATCTCTCCAAGTTGAGCTCAGACGCAATGCAGGTGCAGAGTCACTCTCATAAATGGCTTCGAAAGCACCGATCAAACGTTTTGATAGCAAAGGGGAAACATGACTCCAGCAAAGTACTGTTTCAACAATAGTTAGAAGTTGCTTAGTCAGTAATGCTTGCTCTCCTTCAGGGCGATGTCCAGACCTCACAATTTGCTCCAAAACACTAACTGTAAACCTAAATATTCTCTTCAAATCCACCCATTCAAAGGACTTTTTCAAACGAAAATGAACTTCCCATATTAAGCCAACATCAGCTGATTTTACAGTGATGGCATATTCTTGCATTATTGCTAATATGAGAGAGCAAGCCAATTTTTGCTGATTTATAGGAGAACTCAAAATCATCTTCTCTAATTCACCTAATAATGCCTTTCTCTCTCTACCTCCATCATCAATACTGCCCCTCTTGATTATTATAGCAATAGTCTGAAAATAAAAAATATTTATATTTGATATAGGGCTCTTTTCATATAGAAAGTATACCTAGAGCAATGAAAAGTAAATATAGTGTAATGTTACCTGTAATAGTTTCTCTCTCAGGAATGGTGGTATTTCTTTTCTTAAAAGGTAGTTCAATAAGTACTCTCTCAGTGAAGAGATGTCATTTTCTGACAAAAGACTCCACTCTCTAATGAGTGCTGACTTGAGCAATCCTGCTGCTTCAAACAAGACATAGTCTGATGTGGATTTCTCCAAGAGTTCTCGACATAATTGATATGGGTTTTTAGTGCTTCGAAATTCGAGAAAGACACTCTCAGCTTGATGTCGTTGCTCTGAAGACACCATGTTAGGTGGTGCCTGTAGAAAAATTCAGGTGTTAATTTTTGGGACCCAACAAAACATTTTCATTATGTAAATATTAATTATATACGTATTTTATAATAAGTACTTGTTTAGCAATTGAGAAAATTACAAACTTACCATCAACATTTGAGCAGCAGCTTCCAATGTTTGTATAGCAGGATTGTCCATATTTATGTTTTTATTACACAAAATTAGTGTATGATGAATGAAAATTTGATTATTCACCACATCTAGAAAATTATATGTATAGGGAAAATTTATGAATCACATAATTACCAATAAAATTTAGACGAATTTTAATTATGTAGGTAATTCTTTCCTTCAACATCAGATGACATCAAAATTATGAATGAAACAAAGAAAGATGCAAAAGATGACAACAATGGAATGAATGAATCTTAGGAATGAATCACAGGAATGAATAGAGTTACAATAAAGTTTTATTCACATTTTATTCGTTTTTGGGGCGGGCGAAGGAATTCAGTAATTTGGGACAGCCAGGGTACCGTAACCCGCAGCTCGTTCTTCCTTATTAATGTTCTTCTATTCCACTTATATTAATGTTACAAATATATTGATACTTTTTTTAGAGGTTTCGCGCCCACAGAAATATGTATGAATGATGTGAAATCTACAAGAAAGTGGTGAGCCGTTCGCTCTCCCGCACTAAATTCATGGAAGATCACTCATAGTAACTTTCTTATTTACATTGATATAGAATAATATATAAACAATCATTGTAAAACCATTTACATCTACATCTATCTACACATTAGTGATGAGCCCCTCACACGCGAGGTGCCTCGTTTGAGTTCCTCATTTCGACAAAATGAGGGAGTACTCGTTTTTCAATTTTGAACCACCTCATTAAGCTCCTCACTTTTTGAGTGAGGAGCTAAATAGCGAGTTGTTTCGAATGAAAAGGCGACTTGATACTTACTCAATATATTCTAGATTAAGGGAATGGGTTAAGTTTTATGAGTTTTTTGTTTGTGTGTTTCTTCGGAAATACGTATTTTAATATTTTATAGATAAATGATATTAATTAGTCTAAGTAAAAATCAAAGTTAATAAAAATGTATCGGTTTTATTTAGAAATATATTTATATGATTCGAAATATAAATGATTGATCGATTTTAAAAATGGAACATTTGACACTATTGCAAATAAGTTGCGTGTTGTAGTCATTCTGTTAAATAATAATCTAATAAAGTTTATTTCTTAGAATCTAAAGACAAAATATGTTTTGTTTAGCATTACCGACTCCCTCCCTCATTTTGTATCAAACGGCAATGTTGCGCGCGCCTCGCTACGTACTCATTCACTGCTATTATAACATTACCTATCCTCACCTCAAATGAGGGGTAACTCGCGAGCCCCTCACGAGGGAAAATGAGGTACTCACTCATCCTCATTAAAAAAGAGTGAGTAACACAACGCTACTACACATATGACGTCACGTCAACTCAGGGTTGCCAGATCCAGGTTGATCATTTCCTGGACATTTCTTGGTCTACGAGCGGAATTAGTTTTGATCTCCAGTTCGAGACTAAATTAAGTAGGAATTACCTAGAACTATTGGTTGATGAAGAAAATAATTTTTAATTACTTTTTATGCTGTTCAATACAAAAATTGTAATTCAACTTAAAACCGCTCACCCCTCCCATTGATCACCACACGCCGTAGTATCGTAACTTAGTGGAAACAAAACTTGTATTTTTTTTCATTCCGGGACAGTAAAGTTAAATTACTGCAAAATTGCGGGACAATCTCGTAAATCCCGGTCATCTGGCAACCCTACGTCGACAGGACTGCTGTTTACCCGGCTTTTTCAAAAGATTATAGTTTTAACATATTGTAGGTTGCTTACATAAGATTAATAATAAAGAATATTTTTTCTGGGATTATACATCTCTATTCTTTGTTGATTCATTTAAAGCACTGACGGAGATTTCAAATACGATTTTGCTACGATATTTTATTTATTTACCTTATGAAAATATATAAAATACAATCAAAAATAGATATTTAACAATTTCTTTCTTCTTGTTCCATATCTCTTATCTTTATTAGGTGGTAGCATTCTAAAACATTAAATTATATTCTCGTTGAAAAGTACGTTAATTAGCTTCGCTTTTATTAATTAAATATTACGCAAAGAACGACATTAATCGTATATTACCTATTGTATCATTAATTCGATATTGTCCGCGAGCTATACTTCTATAGTATGGCCTCTCATAACGACAGATAAAAACACGTTAGAAAGTATAATCATTCGCCACGAAGAATTACAAGTTCGAAAACTCGAGAAATTAAATTTTAGGAACCGATTCAATTAACGGGCCTTCGTGTAAATAAAATAAAAACACACACAAAACTATTGTGGTTATTGTAAAATTGTATTTCTGTCGTTTTATTTCCTAAAAGTACCTAATATTGTATACTTATAGAGTTACAGCATTCTGCAAAATGTAAAATTCTCTGAAGGAACATTTTGTGATAACTTGTGCACAAACACCCAGATTTCAAAACCGAAATATAAAAAATAAGACCAAAAAGCAATGAGGGACTCGATATCGCACACTAAGGGTTGTTTTCATATTTGATTTAAGTTTGTAAATTTTCGTATTATATACATATAATGATAACATTCTTTAATAACTCTTTTATCTCAAAATATTTGACATTCTCATAATAATTTCATGTCACGCAAAAAAGTTCGCATTTTTTTCTAATTATTTTTTAGTTAACTCTTCTGCACAAATGCATAAGGCGGACTTAATGCCTGAGACATTTTCTGCCAGTCTGCCTTATGGTGATGTGGAATAAAATAAGTGATAAGGTAAACAATTACAGACAGTATAACAACTAGATAAGTCTAATAAGTTATCTAACAAAGTTATATCCATCCTTCAAAAATGATCCCCTAAAAATGTTTAAAATTTATTTGTTTACTTTGCACTACCGCCTTCGTCTTACTGACTTACATAAATGATATGCATAAATGTGTAGTACCGAATTTCAGCTACTAACTAGATCTAAAAGTTTCAGAGGAAATAAGCTGACAGATAGCACAGATACAGAGACAATCGACAATCTTAAGTTTCGTTGTGGTATCGTTTTAACCCTTACAGCAGCAAAATGTAAAATATACGTTTCTTTAGTTCAAAAACTAGTGTTTGGAGGTTTAGATGAATGCAATACAACAACAAACAAAAAAATAAATAAAACAAAGAGTTTGAATAGTATGTAGATTTTTTTCGTAAGTAAGGAGTTATGTCCTAAAGAACGGACATTACTGCTACGTTGTGATAGGGTATTGACGCTTTTCTGAAAACTATCTTATATGGTTGTTTGATAATATTATAAACACACTATCAATATATGTTATGAGAATCTGTTCTATTTATATGAAAATAATTGTTAAAGTTTGAATAGCCAAAATCCCGCAAAAACGCTGCTCAAAACAATAAAATTTTATGTTTTGTATTGATATCTACTTTGGTTTTGTTTATAAAAACGAGCTACAAATCTTATGTATAAATACAAAATATGTGCATCTCTAATAAATACCACGATTTTGACATGACAGCTTTCTTTTTAAGTGTGACTTGCCGGTAAACGGAACCTGTTATTGGTTGCGACGACAACGTTTTTCGTCGTTCAATAAAATTCCTAAAAATTTTCTTTAAATTATTTTACTAAAGCTAAACATACCTTGTCTGCAGATTCTAAGAAATAAACTTTATTATATTGTTATTTAACAGGATTACCATAATACGTGCCCCATAAAACAGACCGTACTAGGTCATATAAAAAGTGAAAAATATGAACCATTTCAACTTATAAATGTTTAACAAAACAAATTTTAAGTCAATGATTTGGAAAATATTACGCTTTGGAAACTTGAAAAAGTACAGAAAATCTACTACAAAAATCTGCTAAAATACATAAGGCTTTAAATTAGATATAAAAAATGTTACAACTTTCATTATAACAGCTATAAACATAAACGCACAAATAACAAAGATATTACAAAAAATGTCCAGACGCCCATACATTTTTCGCTACTGTAGCACCATGTGACGTCACTGAGTGCTTTGAATTTGTAGGGAGCGTTTTCGGCCAACTAGCGGCAGTTCTACAAACACGCACCGTATCTCCGAAACTATTTATCGCAGACATGCTGTTACTTCGACATTATTTCTCAGATGTTAATGGACTATTTATTTATGAAATAAAAAAAAGTTGTCAACTAGCCTATTGCTAGCCGCAGAACACCACAACAATAGACTATATATCATTAAACTATAGAAATGATTAAAATATACCAATCTTACCCTTTCAACATTTATCAACAGTCTAATTTTCTTAACAGCAAAAGCTGCAGAACTCACATTACATGACCGTTTGACATGAACCTATATTATATATTTATTTTTTTGTAAATTAAAATTGGTATTGCTTAAAAATCATTTTTTGAGAAACGAAACAATCACATGTCACGCTCTAAACATGTTATCATAGTTTTGCCTTTGATATAATATCTGCACTGCCTTTGAGTAACTATATATGGTAGCTGGTTGATTCGATCCCAACTGATAGTTTCGGAACTACCGACCAATTTATATGGAAATATTTATTTAGATAAAATTCTAGCCTGTGAGATTGAGAGGAAGATGAGACATCGGCAGGTATTTGCAAAAGCATTTTTTTATTGTACAGATCTTTTTTAACGGACGAAACATTAAAAGTTTTTTAGTTGAAATATATATTTTTTATGTTGGTCATGCATGAATAACTTTTTATATTTGTGAATTTGATTATTTTTCGGTATAATTAAATAGGAGAAACTTCTCAAGTAGATCCTTTAAAAATATCGAAATCAGATCATACGTTATTGTTTTTGAGTCAAAATTAATATTAACCTCTCGATTTTAATAGATTTACTTTATATATGAATCGCTTTTAAGAAAGGTATATATTTTTTTATTTAAGAAGGTTTTTGGAAGCTTTTGATGTGAATCAGATGCATGGGTTATATATAAGAAAAAAATTTTTTGAACGTCGTGTTTTATTGTTGCTTTACTATAACATACATATTTAAAACCCATCCCCACGATGCATTCGTGATTGATAAACCATATTAAAACATATTAATATCCATTCCCAAACAAATTATTAAAGCTAATATCACAAGATCCTTTATTAAGGACACCCAAATTTTAACCCTCTTTAACGGTTAAGTGACCGTTATTTTCATCAAATATAAACAATGAGCTCATCTAGAAAGACATATCCATCGACACCACACTGTACCAAAAAACAGACTAAATAATTTGAGGGTTAAGCGGCTTCAAAACAGGCGGTTATTTCTTTTGAGGTTTGGAAACAATTTGTAGGTACTTTGTAACGTTTACGGACGTTACAATATTTTAGGTGTTCATTAGATAAAAAAAATGTATATTGATCCTGGAACTTCCTATTCCGGCATTAATAATGCAGCAACGCAGAACCTATTGTTTATAATCTCTTTGAGCAACACTAATGAAGGTTGCAGAGTCACCACATAATAATACTGCTAACCACACTGCTAACGTAGACAGAGGTCGTCCAGGGTCGAGGTAACGAGACATTATGTTAATGCTCTAACGAACTCGTACGCTTGTAGAATATATCTGTCGATTGTGATTGAAAAAAGATTAACATGCTTAGAGCAGAGTTTGAAACCGGTTCCGAATAAACACTTTTAATTTATGTTCTGTTCCAGACGGTACCCAACTAAACTAGTATTTAAGATTAAAAAGGAAACCGGTTAATTTTCTCTATTATTTACAACGTTCGGTCGGCCGTAAAGCGCCCGCTCCCAAGCAAAACTCGTTAGTTTAAATATACATTTAACGAAATGATAATGAAGCCGGTTAAAATTAACGAATTAATCATTTTTTTATCTAGTTTAAAAGCCCGCGTATAATTTAGACGAACCGGTTCATAAATTTAACCGGTTTCCAAATCACGCTTCAGACGCCAAGGTCATCCATTTGCTGAAATATGTGACAGTATAGCAGATCTAGCATTAGCTAGAATTATGAGCAAGCTACTCAGTAAAATGACATTGTTAAAGACATAGATATATATAATATGCATACTTGTAATCTTAACACTTCATCTTAAGGATAATCTACAACATATTTTTCATTTGAAATTTTAGCAATTTTCATTTTCAATCATTGTCAATCTGTTATTAAGTAGCTGTGTGTCTAATCGATGTTTGCATAAGAACCTCCCATTAAGAAATAGGACTGGTATATCATATCTGTATAGTCTAAGCCATCTAAGATTATTTTTTTCTGTAATGTCAACTTTTTTAACTATAACTCGACTTTTAAAAGGCTCTAATTCTTCCATGACTATATCACATAATGGACACGGATCTTTAGTATAGAAGGTCAGAATGGGTGGTCCATTTATTGCTTGTTCTCTGTAAAAAAATAAAGTTCCTCTCAACCAAAAATATGTACAATTTATTTTTATTCAGACCACATTTCATATATTACTTTACAAACAACATTTCATTATAATACTAAAAATGTATAACAATAATAAATTCACAATGAATAGAACTATATAAACAATATGCTTACTGATTAATTGGCTTATAGCAAATCATTTTAGAAAGGCACTAATAAAACTTTAATAGATGTTAATTGGTATGTTGTGACATTTTGATATTGACTTACAATTTTTCAATCATTATTGATGATGCACCGCCACCACCATTGCAAATTGATGCCACACCTTTTTCTCCTTTTTTCAGTGCATGACATAAATGTACAACAATTCGAGCACCGGACATACCAATAGGATGACCGAGACTCACAGCTCCACCATGTACATTTACTTTAGATGGGTCTAATTCTAAGATCTTTTGATTGGCTACTGCTACTACACTGAAAGCTTCATTGATTTCCCATAAAGCTACATCATCTTTTTTCACACCAGTCTTTTCTAATAATTTTGGTATGGCTACTGCAGGTGCAATAGGAAAGTCAATAGGATCACATTCACCATCAGCAAAACCAACAACACGTGCAATGGGTGTTACATTTAATCTTTGTGCTGCTTGTGCAGTCATTAGAACCAGTGCAGCGGCTCCATCATTCAGTGTAGATGCATTGCCAGCTGTCACAGTTCCATTTTCTTTTTGGAACACTGTTGCTAATTTATTGAATTTTTCAAAGTTAACCCTTTTATATTCTTCATCTTCAGCAAATATTAGAGGTGGAGCACCTCTTTTTTGTGGCACAGAGACTGATACCAATTCATCAGCAAATGCTTTAGCTTGATATGCAGCAGCACTTCTTTTGTAACTATTAATGGCATATTCATCCTGCTGCTGTCTTGAAATATCTAGTTTTTTTGCTGTGTTTTCAGCACAATTTCCCATATGGAATTTGTTATAAACATCAGTGAGCCCATCAAACACAATACCATCAACGAGCTGCATGCCTCCATAGGTAGTTTCACCTCTTTTCAGATAAAAGGGTACATTGGACATTGATTCCATTCCACCAGCAAGAATAACATCTTGGGCACCTGTTTGAAGACCTTGTGCTGCAAGCATTACTGATTTCATACCAGAAGCACAGACCTTATTGACAGTTGTGCAAATAGTGCTCTTTGGAAGTCCCGCAAATATGACTGCCTGTCTAGCTGGTGCCTGTCCCAAACTTGCTGAGCAAACATTTCCAATATAAACCTGAAATAATAATTATTATTAATCATCTATCCAAAAATTTAAACTTAAATTTGATCAAATGTACTAGATAAAGAAATATTTGTAACTTATTTACAAAAGACTTTATCTAATCCAATCAATCAAATTAATACTCCTGGCTTAATAGTATCTTAGCAACAAATAGTTTCTAATCAGCAAGGTGATTGAAATTATCAAAATGATACTAATTTTATAGTTGTCAGGTCCAGTTTAACTGTACCAAATAACATAACTGTACATTGAATATTTACAGTGAAAGTAGACAATCAACTAACCTCTTTAATTTCTTCCATAGGAATGCCTGCTCTTTCAATGGCTCCTTTTACAGCTACTGCTCCTAGTTCTGAAGCCGACATACTGGCCAGGCTGCCTCTGAAGGATCCGATCGGTGTTCTCACTGCAGATGCGATGACCACTTCGTTCAAGGAAACTTTTGTGGAATACGACATCGCTATCGTTTTTAAAAACTGTCGATCAATCAAAGCGAACAAATTAACAAAAAATATTGCTACACCAAGTTGATTTTCATTCAAAACTTCTTTTTTGAAACTTTTAGTTAGACGTCACAAGTTCCGCTATCTTCACAGACAGTCGGAATGCGATTGAATGACGAAAAATGAAAAGGAAAACTGCTAGTTATACCAACCTTACTCGCAGGGTTCATTTTGATGCTAATTAAACTGCTTCCTCTAAATAAAATCATGATTAAATCTTAAATCTACAAATAATAATGGAAACCAAAATGTAAAGAATAAATCAGTGCGTTCACAATACTTATCGTAGTAAAAGATTTTTTTATTTACATTAAATTATCTTTTATGATATCAGAATTTTTAAACTGGTTAAGAACTCTATTTCTCTAATTATAAAGGTCATAATTAAATGGCAAGATTTATACAATCTTGTTGAAATAAACTTTGACCCTAGACTTTTTTTTTTTTTTATTATTGAGCTTAACGGCTCTGGATTCAAGTCCTTTTGAGCCATACATTATTATAGGTATTAATAATAAAATTAAATCTTGACTCCAGTATTGAGAATGAATTTGTAAAGTGGTTTGTAGTTCTTGAATTCTTTTAGTAAGTCTTCGAGTTTACTGGGTACCGTTGTTTTCTTGTGTATTGATTCCAGGTCGCTGACAAGTATTAGTCGTTGTATGCCAAATCGTTTGCATTTCATTACCAGATGTTGGAAATCCTCGTCTTCGTTATACAGGACAATGTTGCTAGTGCTCAGTTCTCGAAATTTACACAGGGTAGGTTTGTGTGAGGAAGCGATTTTGAGATGATTCCTGTTGACGAGACTATTTTCACCGTTTGTTGATGCCACATTTGTCGTTTCTCATCGGCTAGTGTTATATATTTTAGAATTGTTTTTTATACATTTTTTCTTATGTTTTGACTATTTGGTACGGCGATGTCTATGAAATATGTAACTATGTTGTTTTAAGATTGTTATACTCTTTTTCACAGCTTAAGCTGTTTGCCTACATTTATATTATTATTAATAATAACGGGCTTTTAAAATATACTTTGTTTTTAATACGATTTTTGGAAACTATATTTTTTCTCTAACACTCAAAATGATACTTGTTTATACTTACTTAATTATTCGTATTTTTTTTTGAGAAATTAGTTTGATAATCCAAAAACCATCACTATACAATACAGCTGGGCGACATTTCAGTGTAACGCAAAATGTAACAATTGTATCTCTCTGGCAATATTACTAGAGGGTCTGTTCTATAAAATAGGACATTTTGACGCTCGATAGAACAACTATTTTCACAGGCTAATAAAAATTACGTTTCAGTTAATGCAATAATTTTAAAATCAAAGAATATTTTCTTGATTTCATGTCATCTGAGATTGAGATGTATTAACGTAATAATCAAACTAATAAAATAAAACTCTGACCAGTGGTGCTAGTATCTTAATTTGAAATGAGGTAGTATTAAAAAAAAACATTATTTCCCGAAATCAAACTTAATGTCTCTATGGTACGTTCTTGATTTCTCCATGGCAACACTTCCGGTTTTCTTTCATGTTTTAAAGTAAATTAGCTTTCAAAACTTAATAAACAACTCGTATTCTATTTGTACTTTTTCGTATTTGTATTGATATCTAAGTTTCGAACTTTTCAAAATCCAGTTTTTTAATATGTTAGTTAAAAGGAACAGAAATTACTGTCTTTGGTCCATGAGTTTCCTGCAAAATCAACTTTTGCTAGAGTCGCCATCTAGTGGAGGTGCTTTGATAGTGCTTTCGTTTTTTCTTAATACTTTTTCATTTGCAAGAGAATCTATGTTTAAACATGAAGGTCTACTTTCAAAAACCTCCAAAAAGATATTATATGAAAACAGGTTCCATTCTTTTAAAATATATTTAAGCGTTTCCTTGCATTTGTGCTAAAGCTATGTTTAAAAATTAGGAAAAGAAAGTTTGCATTACAAAACAATGCTTAGTGTGATTTGTGTTATTTAACGTTTACGTATTACATTTTTTGTGTGCTTGTTATAAAGTCAATTCTTGTTAATATGACCAATATTGTTAGGGTTTTCTCAAGATGTTTGTGTGTGTTAGTCAAATAACTCCGGATTTAATGAAGAAGAATGGATTTCCAAAAAATATTCAGCAATATCATAAGCATAGTAAAGTACCCCAAAAAAACTGAAATATATATCATTTTTGACTACGTCATACGTAGTATGTCAATATTACAGATACATATTAGATATATAATAATTAAAAACTTGTCGCTATCTTGTATTTAAATCCAACAATATACTTCGTGTGGCTGTATGGGCAGCAGTTATTTGCTTACCGAAAGGTAGTTAAAAATTATTGTTCTTTTGACATACCCATGACATTGACAGATGATAATATTGGTGGAGAAAATTGGTTGAAATGAAAATAGCAAAGGATTGGCTATTTTCTCAAAATGAATAAAAAAGTTTTTAAGAATTAGGATACTTTTAACACTTACATCGTTTTTATGGAGATTTACTCAGAGTTTATCAAGGTTGTGAACAAAAATATTAATCTGTATCAAAGTTAAGATTTGCCTACTATCCATTGTAACAAATCGAGTGGGATATTCAGACACCATTCTGAGAATAACGGAATATCAGGTTAGTTTATTGTTTTGTGTTTTAATTTGGTGTAATCCTAAATAAAATATATTCATAACTACATTTAACTGTTAAAATAATTTTTCTTTATCTTGACTTTAGCAAATTTCTTTGGGAGACAATGATAAAATTAATACAATTATAGGATTTCATCTCGTAACCTCGTTAGGATACAGAACCTTTTAGTGAGATATTTTATATACATCAATTTAGCCTTATAAAAATTGAGCCAAATTTATAAAAACAAAATATGTGATAATTATTACATAGCATCATTTAAACTATATATAGAATACATATAAATTAACTTAGGATGTTTGCAGAATATTTTACTAATGCTATTGTTAGGAAGATTACCAATTAGCTTACTTGTTTAGATACTAACATTAAATTGTGTAATTTACTTAAAGTTAAGATCTGTCTTTGTTAAGAACATGTGAAATTAATATTGTAAGAATTGCATTCTGAACTTTAATGAAGTTCCTTTTATTCACCTTCAACTCAATAGAGCCTTATCTCTAGATAGAACAACTGGTTGCTTAGTAGCTTAGCTTGTTTATTCATTCTAAATGGAATGTTGAAACATTATCAAATGCATTATCTTGAATGATAAATCATAACTTTCATAATAGATTACTTCATTCTATTATATACCCAATATATGTACATATTTTTTTATTGTAGTTTCAGTATTGATCAGTTGACTTTAAATTAAAAATAAATAGTTTATGGTAAGTTTCCAATAATCAGAATATTTTGGATTTTAATTTTAATGTGAAATATAATCAGTGCTAATTCTGTTTTACCACTCTCTAAACTATATTTAATTTTTTGTTTTTTTTTTCTATTATTCTATATTTGAATTCAACCAAAGAAATAGAATTATATCCCTGTAGTTTCAAATATAATAAGTTCAGAAGTAAACCTTATTATATTTTAGTACACATCATGGATATATTTATGATTTTAAATGCAGTTTGATAGGACTAAACCTTTAGGTCAAGTTCATACAACAGAATTTCTACCACTGAAATACTCAAGATGATGTAGGTTATTCTTTTTTACAATATATTAGTTATACCTTTCAAATTCATTATTATCACTAGATAGTTTAAAACAAAGTCACTTTCTCTATCCCTATGTATGTTTAAATCTTTAAAACTATGCAACAGATTTTGATGCAGTTTTTTTCATAGATAGGGTGATTCAAAATTAAGGTTTTTATGTATAATGCAAGACCACACGGGCGAAGCCACTGGCAGAAAGCTAGTTTCCACAATAAATTAGGAGTTGTTTATATGCATTAAGTTATAGAAAATTATCAAAAGAAAAATGAACTTCAATATTATTTCTTTAAGATAAATATTAACCTTAAATTGAAATTTTAACAACACTATAATTTATGAATATTACTCATTGCCTATTCATTTACATATTTTTAAACATAACTCTTATGTTTATATGACCATTAATTTACTTATAAATAAAGTAAATTTTTATAATAAACATGTTTTGAATGTTTTGAACTAATTTGTCTTTGCTAGTCCAAATCTTACCGTTGTTAATGTTACTCACCTATTAGCAAGTTAACAATACTGTGTTAATATTTCATTAAGAGTGTTGTTGTGGTTATTAGTCTTACTCTTAGCATTGCTCATTTAACTGGTCCTTAATTTGTTTACAATGTACAAGCTTTGGAAAAAGTTTAATCTAAGACATTGTATGTATATTAATAAAGTAACATTAGTAGCACCATAGATATATATAGACAAAAATTGTATTATGATTGTTTTAGGGTTTTCACCGAGAAGGGTGGGCTATGACTTAGGATATGTAATAAAAATGGAGACTGTTAGTAAGGATATATATGAATATGAGCCAAGAGAACAGATAGCTGGAAGCAGTGTTGAGAGTGATGCATCAAGTAGTATTTTTGAAAGTAATGGTAGCAGTGAGGACTTGGACAAGACATCTGATGATGAAGATCTCAAAGAGGACTTACAAAAAACAATCCCTGAATGTTATAGATCAGACTCCAACTTTTCATCACAAACCACAAGTGATATTAATGACGATGAGTTTCAAGCGACAGCTCTTTGTCAGTTTATGGATATTTTAAATGATCTAGATGCAGTTTTAGATAAATCCTTATTGGCATGTCTTGATAATGGCACAAAAACGTTTGATAGTGATGAAGACGATCTTATATGTAAAATTAAAGATTGTCTTAATACTCCTCCGGAGCACTCTGAACATTCTGAAGCACAGAGTTCCATAGATGATAATACAGAAGTTGTAGTAGCTCACAATGCTCAAATATCCTCTGCTCCTCTATTAGATATTATTGAATATGAACAAAATATAGATGAGAGGAAAAACATCTCCTGTCTTGCTCGTTCAAAAAGTTTTTCTGATTTATCTGAAACTAACAGGCAAACATTAGTGGCATCATTAGAAAGAGCAAACACAACCACTGATAACATACGTAATTCAATGAGAAGGTTGGATCCAATAGTTTTACCAGCAACTCAAGAATCATGCGAGCCCTTGACACTGCCAGTTATATTATTTTTAGAGCATCATGTTAACATGAGACCAACTAGTGCACCAATACAATTGCAAGTTACAGCTGCAAATTTGAGTACAGACGGAAGTTCTGGCCCTTTGATAGTAGGTCGCCGAGCATTACTAATGAATAGAACATTATCTTTACCATCGCCAGGCGATAGTGATGTGACAACCGGAGATTGGACTGGTAGGAATACAGCTAGAAGCACTATTAGATCAACATCTAGTTCATCAATTGACTCAATACCTGCTGCAACATCAAATAATCATGTCCCTTCTGGTGTCACCGAAGAGAGGTAATAGACTTTTCTAATATAACATACTTACTTTTTAGTATAAATAGATATTCAAAATAAACATAAAGTTGCAATGGTATATTGCATGACAGTAGAAGTACCAAAATTTTTTTTTGTGTAAAACTTTTTCTACAAACGAACTCACACTTAAAAATGAAACAGATATTGTTCGCTTTTAGAGGAAACTTTTTGTTGTTTTTGTGGTCACCAAAAATCGATTTTAACATAACTATCTAAAACAATGTTATAAATACTTTAAACAACTATAAATTAAAAACAATGTGTATTACATATGTATTATAGAAAACAATATGTAGTATTCAGGTGTATAATTTTATTTTAGATTACATGTGACAATTAAATAATTTAAAAATAAAAAATTATTTGGTTTAGATTTTGATACAGATGCAGAATTTCATTATTAGGCCCAGATGCAGAAGTGGAACATAATATTTTTGTTAATTTTTTTTTTCAATTATTTAAACAAAACTACAGAGGTGTATCATCATTGCATACACATCAAAAATTGATAGAATGTTTACACAGTGAAATAACAGGATCAGTACGAATATTATAGAATTTGCTTTAGATGTTCTTTTAATGAGAGTCATTGAATTTTTTAAACCAGATGAATACCCTTATACCATATTTCCAGAACTGATGAGACTGAAGAACCACCATTTGGAATTTGGCCACACGGCATGAGCGCTATGTTAGCGTGTCTTAGCTGTACCGTAGGAATATTTAATATATCAAGGTTTGCGATACTGAGTGTACATTTTGGAGGTACATAAATTAACCATTAGCTTTTACTTGCTGATATTAATTTGATAGTATTTTAATAATAATAATAATGTGATTGTTACAGCGAGTTTCATCATACAGTTTTTTTTACTATCATTCTTTATTGGCATACCATTATTCACGCTGTACCTTTGTTTGGGTCGAGTATTGCAAGCTGGTCCGGTGGACATGTGGAGCATATCACCTATATTTCAAGGTGTTGGAGTGTCATTGCTCTTAACTCAAGCGGTCATAGGTGTTTACAGTATAATAGGTTTATCCTGGATATTTATATACTTTAGAGACTCCTTCATAACCTCTGAGGATAAGTACAAATGGGCTCTGCCGCAAGAGATCAACTTTGATGGTGAGTTGATGACTTTACATTGATATATCATTATATTATGCGACCCTATCAAAAGAGACTTTATTATTATACACACACACTACACACACACACACACACACACACACACACACACACACACACACACGGACACACACTACACACACACTCCCTCAAAGCCTCATTTATAATACAGATATGTACAAATTCTTATGTGTTAAAAATGCTATATAATTAATGGTTTTTATTTCAATAAACAGTGAATCCCGATTGTCTTTTACTGTCGGTGGTAATCAACGGTTCCTTATATATTGCTGTCATGATTGAACTTCTTGATACAATCAAATTATTTGCTTAAAAGAGGGTTCAATTGACATGTCTTGTGTTAAGCTAAGTTACTGAAATTAAATTTTTGATTTGATCTGTGTCCCTATAGTCGACAAAGGGATAAATTCATATAACAAATGTTTTTATTACGTCCACGAAATCACCGGAAATATAGCCGAAGGTCGTCGACGCTATCGTCAATTTAAACAATTAACTTTTTACTACTCTCCAAATAGCGAATATCGAACACAATACAGACAAGACGTTTTGATTGGACGTTTCGTAATTTAATTCGATTACAGATGCTGGTATGAAGAATTTCACTAATAAAATTCAGTTGTCCCTGCCACAGTATTTTCAAAATGAAGTTTTGCAAATAAACACCGGATCTAATAAGTCATCATTTGGATCAATAAAATTCCAAGTGGCGTTTAATCTAGCTGTTGTGTGGATGATAGTATTCGTTTCTCTCAGTAAAGGCTTGCGGTCGTATGGCAAGGTAACTAATTAATGTTATATTATTATTATATAATATCGACATTTAATGATATAAAGAAGAAAGATTTTATTGTTTGTTTGCATTAAATAGGGACCGAAGCTTCTAGACTGTTATTAACAATTCTTACACCTACGGGAAGCAAACATTGTTTATTTAGCACCAATAGAAAATTCAAAATTAGGTACTAAAAAGGTCTCCGCTCAGCAATATGCCGCAGTGTTTAAGCTACGGCGCTAATTTTCAGCCGATACCTTAATTAAATAAATAAACAAACTAAATAATTTAAAATTAAATAAAGAGGAGCACGAATAGCATCACATACAATTACATGCAATTAACAAGACACATTTATAAAGTAATTGTCCAGTTTATGAACTTACAAGATTTACATTAATATAATTAAAATCATCAAATAAGATTAAAAAAATGTGTGATGAGATGACAAATTAATATTTTCAATGAAATAATAGTAACAATTAAATATTTATGATTCTAAAATTAACAAAAATAATTCACAAACACAGCATCAATATTAGTATATAAAGCTATTTCGATCTTTGAATATTCATTAGATAATCCTTTAATTTGGTCTTAAACGTTACAATACTTTTAGCATTTCTAATAGGGGGAGGGATATTGTTCCAACATTTTGTTGCAGAATAACTAAAACTGCCACGGAAAACAGCTGTTTTATATTTCGGACTTATTTACCCTCCAATCCGCATTGGGCCAGCGTGGAGGGTCGTGGCCCATCCTCCTTAACCATCCATAACGAAGGCCTGAGCCCCTGCAGTGGGGACGTAAAAGGGCTGGTGATGTTTTGTTTTGTTTTATATTTCGGACAAATCAAACGCAAAAATCAGCTAGTATATTATTGTAACTTATCAATATCTTATATTCAAATATTACAAAGCATTAATATATATTCAATATACAGGTATATTTGTATACCGGAATAATTGTATGTTGACCCAACAACTTTTGCTTTTTAAGACAAGATGAATTATTCATATGAATCGTTCATTATGTTTCAATTCTTAGTGTATGCACGTGACACATAAAATGCAGATGTGAATAGGTTTTACCGTGGTCTCAAATACGATTGAATGAGGTCTTCTAATCTAAAAAGAAAATATTTACAATTAAAACGATGCAAGATCTTTGAAATGATATATTTAACTGTTATTAATTTTAAATATGAGTTGTGGTAATTTATTGTTTAATAGACTCAAACATCGTACGTTTAATAAATTTTGATAGCTAGTGGAAATTAGGACTGTATGATAAAAAAATGATTGATATAATGATATACTAATATACAATAATGAATCATTAATCGCAGCTTAAGCATAGGAAACATTTACAATAATCGAGTTAAAAAACAAAGAACAAAATAAAATGGAAAAAAAGAACAAATTGTGGAAATATTAAACTTATAAAAACGGATGATGTCTTTCCAGCCAGTCGCCAACATATTTACTCTTCGGAATATAAATAATTTAAACTTGAGTACGCGGTAAATGAGCGGTTGATGATCACGTGTCTAGTGGTACCTATCGACTCGTTCACCAGTATCTATAGTCAAGTAGAAGTAGTTAATTTAGCACATATTTATATTTAATAGACGAGAATTTTAAGTTATGAAATGTTAACAACTAATAATAGTATTCTATATATATTCACAATTCTTACTTCATTCAAATTCTTATTTATTTGATAAAAATATCTGCATAAGTTATGACATATTCACAAGTAATAACTTCATTGACTAGGGTTACCAGATCGTTTAACCTAATATCTGGACAGACCTGCCTGTTTGGCCGGACATTTGGGTAAAAAGTAGGCACCCTACATTGTCGAGGATTTTATGTCTTAATATAATATAAGTATAAAAACCATAAATGTTCTTTAATTCTAACGGCATATAAATATAATCGAATGCTTAATCAGTCTTAAGTACGCACGGCCGCAAGTCACGCTACACACCACCACCGTAAGTAGTTACCACGCTGTTAGTAGGGAAGTATATGAAGCACGGTCGGTATAAAGTCCATAATGTATAGTCTGTTGTGCAGCCGTGTGTACTTTATTTCAAGTGACTTTTGAAATTAATATGGTTCAACAAGCCGGGCACCGTTTATTTTTCCGGACACGCAATCAAAAAGCCTAACTCTATCCAGCTTTATCCGGACGCCTGGTCACCCTACGCTCGGCTATAGATGTAGCCGAGAGTTTTATATCTCTTTCAAGAATGATAACTTGATAAGGCTCCAGGAAATAAATCTCATCATTGTCTACTTTAATGTGAACGTCGTTTAAAAATTAACTGACTCCACTCTTACTTTCTATGGTGTGAACATTTTTTGTTGTCAATTAAAAGGGAAAGTTATATTCGAGTCTGTTTATATTTAACTAGCTTATTGTCTGGTTCGCACGAATGTAATTTATTTTATTAATTTATATTTAGTAGGATACTTGAAATTTTTCCGATATCTTCAATGATCATCACTTCAGCCTGATCTGACCTGATCTAATAAATTATACAATAGACCTTCCACGTGAATAAGTCGTATCTTATCGGTTTATCATATTCAGACAGACAGATGGTTTATAATACGAAGACGAGATGAAGAAATATTCGAAGCGCATGTGCCCGAACGTACTTATGCATTAAAATCACGTGCGGTACAATTATTATCCTTAGTGGCGTGCCGTAAAGATGGGAATGGACTGGCATCCTCCATGCTTAGTTTTAATGACAAGCGCGTCCTGTATTCCAATTCTGCTGACGTTTACGTAATAATAGAATTTCAATAGAATCTCGATCGCTAGCATTTTGTCATTGTAATTTCTACCTGATGTCCAGTATTATTATATATCTGTCACCATTGATTTGTGAGGATGACATGGCACTAATAATATTGGACTTCAAGTATATAGTACGTATATATTAGCAGAGTTGGCCCGCTGATTTTTACTATTGCGATCTATAACGTAATATAAACAAGCATAAGGACTATTTAGATATATATTTTAATTTACTAACAAAGAAACGTATTTTTCAGGCTGTTTATATGCTGATATTTCTACCAATATGTGGGACACTTGTCCTGTGTACCAAGTTGCTCACTCTAATACCATCTGATACAGTTACTAATATATTTTCTGGAACTGAATGGAACGAGTTTTTCGTCAATAGTAATGTACGTATACAATTTTTCAATATTTATTGTAAGTCACGTGAACAGTCACGTGACATTCTGAGCAGTGACGTCACATTTCAATAAAAACGAGTAATAGTTGCACTCACAACAAATAGGTTGATTTTTAGTTTATTGGAAGGTGACGTCACATTATGTTCGCCTGAGTTTCGGTTCTTGTAATCCAAACTTAATTTTGGACAAATTAAATATACTTACAATTTATAAAAAAAAAAAAAATACTTCATAGTTATTGTTTACATATATGTTACCATTTCCAACTTATTTCATGATTTATTGTTATCGTTTATTATATGAAGTCTTTAAACTATTTGTATAGAGCTGGGCAGCGGCTGGCCAAGAGATATTCCTTACATGGGGTATATTGGGAGCATGTATTATGCAGTTGACATCCCATAAGAATGCCAAGAACAAAACCAGTGCAATGCTACAAAAAGAAAGTGCATGCATAGTGGCCTTCACTTTTGCCATTTTACTTCTGGGTGCATTCCTTGCAAACACATGTGTGCAAATATTGAAGAATTATGGCTATGTTTACGTGCCAGGCAGCTATGGTAAGATAACAGATATTAATAGAATATAATCATTATAATTGACTAGCTTTAGCCAACCCGCATGGTCCCTAGGGAAATGTTTGGTGGGATAAAAAGTGTCCTATTATCGAAGTCAGCTAATACCCTATCTAAATTTCATCAAAATTTGTTCAGTAGTTTCCGCGTGATTGATAGACAAACATCCAAACAAAGAAACTTTTACATTCATAATATTAATAGAATAAAGTTAAGTAGGGTAGGCGACCCGGTTGTAGCCATTTTTAAATGATGACCCAGTTTTGGCCATTTTAAAGTTAACAAATTGTAGCTGTTAACGCTGTTTGTTTGCTATAATGCAACATTTTAAAAACCGTTCACGTTTTAATTAATATATTAGCGGATACGATTGAATGTAAAAATATTAGTTTTTAAGTTTCGTGCCCAAAGGTTAAAAAACGAGACCCTATATGATTAAGACTGCTATCTGTCCGTCACCAGGCTGTATCTCATGAATCGTGATAGTTAGACAGTTGAAATTTTCACAGATGTAACCACAACAAATACTAATAAATAGAATAAAATAACTCCCATGCAACACATACAAAACTAATTTTATGCTCGTTTTCGAGTTGAGTCTGAAGCGCTAAAAGTGATGTTTTAGAATAATTAAAAATTATATGGATACTATTCTCAATTATATTTTGATATGTTATATCCTTCGTTCTATGTATGCATAAGTTTCAATTCTATTAGATTTGATATGAATCAGAGTTTACGGTCACGTGACAACGAGTGTAAAATATTTGTTTTTTCATAATTAATTTAAGCAATATTATAAATATAATAAACATAAAAGTGTGATTATCTGTAATAGTATATTAAACGCTACAATATCCTTTCGTTTACTGTCTACACCTGTATTGAAATTGGTTTTAGAAAACGTGAAATCATCACAATTCCTTTGGTCTACATCGGAACCATTGCCTGGAAATATAGTATCGACTCCGGTGCGATACATGACCCATTACAGCAGCTTGGTGGGCATCACCGTATCGAAGAGCAGTAACGATATACGCACGCTCAGTGGATGGCAACCGTTGCAACTGGCAACACAACTTGTACCTGCGACGCTTGCGGTGTTGCCAGCTAACGTGGTGAGTTCTTGTTAATAATTTTTTGATTGTTTTTCATGTCGACACAGCGCTGTTAAGTTTTTGTTTGTTTGAAGATTATGTTTTGATAGATGTCAAATATTGGTTTCTTATAATAACTGCCATTGAAGAAGTCGGAAAGTGATATAAGCGTCGGAAACCTTTATCGCGCGAAAAAATATCCAAGTAAATAAACTCCTTCCTTTGAAATGCGTACGAAGCCGTTTGTAATGTGTTTGATCAGTATTTTCATGTTACTTTGTTATAAAAACTCGTGACACAAGATTTTTGCCGACATAACATCTTCACGGAGACTGATTTTGTTAACGTTGTTAAAGTGTTCCCTGTTTTATTGAGTTATATTCTTTCTCAATTCAACCTTCTTAAAGTCACTTGCTGTTAATTTGCCTCGCTAAAACTCGAGAACGGCTAAGGCAATTCAGTTGATTTGATTTTGAAGTGTTTGTCGTAGTCCAGGTATGGTTTAAACGATGAGAGGTACACCGGGTCCAAGTAGTACTCAATAAAAACAAGGTACATTGTAGCAATCCCGTAAAATACCATCATTCTAATGTAAATGATCATGAAAGCTTAAAATAACATATCGTTATTAAAGTGGCCACAATTTTTCGCTATTGAGAGTCCAGGGGGAATTTGCCTGGAGAACTCTATTCTCAACGTGAACCAAGCTGCAAAATCATGATTTAGCATGCAATCCTTTTATTTTCGCATTTTATCTTATCTTTTCCTAGTTGTGACATTTAGCATTGTTGAAATTCAAATTACCTGGTATTTTATTTATTTCTTTAAATGTCAATATAAATCCATTTTTTTCTTTTGTCTGTGAGGTTTAAAAAGTCTGAAAATTATTTCTGTAATAAAAACGGTGCTTTAAAATTATTTGATGCCATTAAACACATATTAGGCTAATAAAGTACATTAAAAAAATACACGTGGAAAATTTTGGGATTTTGGTACTAAAATCGTAAAACTTCTCTAAAAAAATATATCAGACTTTGGTTAGGACAAATATGACTCAAATTGTTCTAGATGGTCTATGCTAACACCCACTTAAGGCTTTTCACCCAGCTTCCAAACACCCTGTAGATGTGTAGAATAATATGCTATTATTCTGAAAGGTCTGGGAAAGGCGAAAAAAACAGAAAAAAATGCAATGGCTATTCTTTACTATGATATCTATATTTACACAATATACACAAAGTTTAACGAGTGAATATTGGGAATATGAAAAAAGATAACGATGTTATAAAAAAATTCCAATAACATTAATATTTTAATTACATACATCACTTGCTGTTAAATACATACAAAAAAAATTATAGTAGTCAAATCATAAATTCAATAGAAAAGGCGAAGTGATAACAAAGCGATAATTCATAATTGCATACAATGACAATAAAGATCCTTTGTTTTCAGTAATGGCACTACAGTTATAATGACTGAAGTATGTAATCAAGGTTAATTGAAAGAATTCCATGTACAAACAAACATTACGTTTGTAGAAATGACATTATGAATATTATAGCACAAGATAAAAACACATTTGCGTTATGGAATTAATAAAACGTGTATGTTATAATTGGGTTAAATTAAACGATTAACAAAGTGTCCAAGTGCGAATCGGTTGGCACACCATAAAAAAAAATTATGTTATGTCATACTATCTGTTTGCTAGCAAACGTATAGCCTTTTAAATGTGGGGTAAACCACCCTTATCACTTAGTGGTATGAAAAATATACAACTCATTCTCAGACCTGACCCATTCTCAGATCATGTACATATATAATTTCATCAAAATCAGTCAAGCTGTTTCGAAGGAGTAAAGTAACAAAAACTGTATACGAGAATTTATATAACGAAAATATGCTTTTGTTCAATAAGCTTATTATGTATTAAATGTAAGCTTATTATATAAGTTTATTACAAGCACTTTTGTATCGTTTGGAAAGTGGTTTTCGGCTGACAAAAAGGTTGAGCGAAAGAAACTTATTATAGGAAGTATATAAATTATAAAAAGAATATGGTATATGCATTTCCTGTTTCTGGTTTGTTACCCCCGGGTACATATTACCCTTCACGAGTACGATTTTAACTAAATTATAAGAACAAAGAAAAATTATCCGGATTTAGGTTCGAGGACAAGTTGTCTATGGCACTTATTAATTGACACGAGTTATAAATAAAATCTTGTATTAGAAATCTTTATTGTTAAAATTAACTTTGTTACAGCTGTCCCCTGCGTGGGCGGTGATATTCTATTTTATCCTGATAATGTTCGGATTGGCACAACAACTGGCGGTGTGGCACTGCGTTATAACAGGGGTGATGGCAATCAATGCGACCTCACTAAGAGTGTGGGAGACTACCATTACATTTTTCAGCTGTGTAATAGGACTAGCTTTCGGACTGGTGTTGAGTACCGATGTAAGTGGCTTTGAAAATACTGGTATCATTTGCCTTCTAGTTCTATCGACTGTTAGTAACCAATACCTCCTATTAAAAGTCTGTGTTGCAAGACATTACATAAACATTTGTTTTTTTTTATAATACATTGTTATATGAACTGGATATATATATAAATATTGTTAGTTTATAAATTAGGAGGCATCGGTATTATCTTCTAAGTCTTATTTATTGTGAATTTGAGAGGTAGAAGTTTGTACAGAACGATGCCTAAATAAAAAACTTTAAAAGTGGAGATAGAAGGAAAAAAAAATTATATACGATTTTTATAAATAAGATTTTTTTACCAAGCTCTATTGTTTTATGTTCTTCTGTATAAATAGGTGATTTCCTTCTCAATCATATTATTTACGCCGTTAGTAGGTACACGAATGCATCCGTTTACGAATGCGCACGTTGTTGTCATTTATTAAAAAACAAAATTCGTGACATTCGGCTAGTCATCAGAAATCGGAACGGGTGGCAACCCTAGATTGATGAGTGCGAAACATATGCGTCTGTGTAACGACATTTTCCGCAGATGACTGGGAACATCGAGTTAGTAATAGAGCGAGAAAGAGCATATTCGAAACATAGCCATACAACTGACAAGATTTAGCATGTTTTTCGCATTCGTATTTTTTTTTGCTTCGGTGTACCAACGGCGTTAACACGAGAATTTCCACAAACAGGGAGGCATCAGGATAGTCCACTACATAGACTACGTATGGGTCGGCTCGTGGTGGCAATGCGTGGTCCACATCGCATTAGCGTGCGGCGTGTTCGTGGTACGGGGGCGGCCTTACTCGCCCGATGCGGTGGTGGCAGCACTGTTCCCTACGCGGGGCCGCCTCGCCGCCGCCGCCGCCGCTTTGCTGAGCTACACCTGGACCGTGATTCTGCCAGTGCTGCTGTGTG